TCCTGAGTAGCTGAGACCACAGGCTTGCACCACCATGCCTGGCTAACTTGATTTTTTTGTAGAGATGGTGTCTTGCCGTGTTGCCCAGGCTGGTCTCAAACTGCTGGTATCAAACAGTCCTCATGCTGGTATCAAACAATCCCAGTCCCAAAGGGCTGGGATTACAGGTATGAACCACCATGCTGGGCTGCAACCTTCATTTGATCTGCAAACTTCATTCCCCTTTGCCATGTAACATAACATTTCAGTTTCCAAGGATTAGGGTATGGACATCTTTGGGAGGGTCGATATTGTGCATACCACAGTGGGAGACAGGACTCTAGAAATAATCTAGTGAGTTCCACTCTTGCAGATCCCCAGCCAGCCCTACCTGACCTCCCAAAACTAGATGAGGTGCACCTGCTTGGTGGTCCTGTGTGGTTACATTCATCACTCATCCCTCTGTGCTGTGCTTGTTTACTTGTCTCTGTCTTTTTCACTCTTAATTGTGTCTGTGTCTTCACTGGAATATAAGCACCACATGGGCAGGATCTTTGTTGGTTTTATTGTTGATTGAAAAGGACATTATATGTAAAGTCTTTGGCTTTTAGTAGTAAAGGTTTTACTAGATTTGTTGAATTAATGACTTTTATCCCCATCATAGCATTGTCTCTAGCACAAAGTAGATGCTTAACAATGTTGTTGCTGCTATTGCTACCGCCACTAACATTTATTGAGCCCTTGCTATGTGCTAGGCACTGTGAAAAAGTCCTTACATACAAAATCTTATTTAATCCACACAATGATCCATGAGGGAGGCGCTAGATTTCCCTATTCCATACAGAAGGAAGCTGAGGTTTAGGGAAGGTAAGTCATTTGCCCAAGATCAAATGGCCTAAGAGAGAGTTGCACTTGGATTTGAAATCATGCCCCTCTGACATTCAAGGCCATGCACCTTTTACTTCTAGTTGCTTTGAGAGATGACATATACCCTCTGGCTTGCGGGCATCACTCTGATATTCTGTGGAATTCCAGGGAAGGCATCCCTACCTCATCCCTGATACTTCTCATTGACAGAGGATATTCCCTGTTTATAAGAATCCACTGTGCAAACAGATAGGGAGGGCATATCCCTCTCCTAGAGAATGGGATTAATCTGTTTGGCATGATTCATTCCATCCCAAATGGGAGTCACTAAGCCAAGGCCTCAGTAGTGACAGTAGATAGTGTTCTAGATCAAGAGCTTAATGTGTGAGGCCTTAGTGATGCCTTGATTCCTACCTTTGCCACCTGGGGTGACATGATCTCCTCAGAAAATTATGGGATTTGAGCTGTGGGTATAGGCAGCAGGCTGTTTGGTATTGTCAATTTAGTACTTACCAGGGCCAACCCTCTGAAACTATCTGGGCCACCTCTCTGTGAGCCAGATTAACCTGGCCACAGAGTATTCACCCAATATATCCAGGAGGGAATCACTATCTTCACTGACTGGTTATAAAAACAAAGGATTTCCTTTGGAAACTTTACTAAAGATGGAGCAGCCAGATGCATGGGGGAAAGCCAATAATGGGTTTGTTCATTTATTCACTCACTCATTCGTTCAACAAATGTTGAGCACTTGTGCCCAGCTCTATGCTAGGGGGCTGCAGATCACCCTGGAGAGCAAGAGCAGTCTGCCAGCAGGGCTGCACTCTACCCTGACACCCAACACCTAGCACGGGAAGTGCATAACAGAGACAGTGATAAGAATTAAAGATACAGAGACTGATTGTAGCTGCAACTACAAGGGAGGTAAGGAAGACCCAGGAGTTGAGCTGGATTGAGCTGCCTAGGGAAATCGCATAAGTGAAAGCAGGAAGGCAGGTGATGAGGGCATGCTCCAAGAACAGTAGGTGGAGCAACAGTTCTGCACTAGAGTGAGGGACAGGAGGACAAGTCACAAGTCCCGTTGATCAAAAGGCATTTGAATTTTACATGATAGTACATGAAGATCCACTGAGACTTTGGTTTTTTTTTTTTTTTTTTTGGAGATGGAGTTTCGCTCTTGTTACCCAGGCTGGAGTGCAATGGCACGATCTCGGCTCACCGCAACCTCCGCCTCCTGGGTTCAGGCAATTCTCCTGCCTCAGCCTCCTGAGTAGCTGGGATTACAGGCACGCGCCACCATGCCCAGCTAATTTTTTGTATTTTTAGTAGAGACGGGGTTTCATCATGTTGACCAGGACGGTCTCGATCTCTTGACCTTGTGATCCACCCGCCTCGGCCTCCCAAAGTGCTGGGATTACAGGCTTGAGCCACCGCGCCCGGCCGACTTTGGTTTTTAAAAGCAAAAATTTTAGGCTGGGTACGGTGGCTCATGCCTGTAATCCCAACACTTTGGGAGACTGAGGCAGGCTGATGATCTGAGGTCAGGAGTTCGAGACCAGCCTGGCCAACATGGTGAAACCCCATCTCTACTACAAATACAGAAATTAGCCAGGTGTGGTGGTGGCACCTGTAATCCCAGCTACTTGAGAGGCTGAGGCAGGAGAATTGCTTGAACCCAGGAGGCAGAGGTTGCAGTGAGCCAAGATTGCATCATTGTACTCCAGCCTGTGCAAAAAGAGTGAGACTCTGTCTCAAAAATAATAATAATAAAAACCAAAAATTGTATTGAGGTCTAATTAGATACCACAACATACACCCTTTTAAATCACCCTTCTTGGGGTCAAGCAATTCTCCTGCTTCAGCCTCCCAAGTACCTGGGATTACAGGCATGTGCCACCTTACCTGGCTAATTTTTGCATTTTTAGTAGAGACAGAGTTTCACCATGCTGGCTAGGCTGGTCTCAAACTTCTGACCTCAAGTGAGCCACCTGCCTCAGCCTCCCAAAACGCTGGGGTTACAGGTGTGAGCCACCGCACCCGGAAAGTTTACAATTAAATGATGTTTAGTAAAGTTAGCAAGCTGAGCAACTATTACCATCATCCGGTTTTAGAACATCTCCATCATTCCAGTAGGATCTCTCTTGGATCCGGTTTGAGTGCTGATTCATCAGTTAGAAAATAAATCCCTCATGCCCATTCAGTTAATTTCCATTCCCATTCCCATCCCCAACCCCAGGCAAATTATTTTACTTCCTGTCTGTATAGGTTTACCTTTGTAGGACATTTCATATAAATGGAATTACGCAATATGTGTTTTTTTCATTTCTGGCTTTTTTTCACTTAGCATGGTGTTTTTGAAATTCATCCACATTGTAGCATGAAGTTGTGTTTTATTCCTTTTTATTGCTGAATAGTGTTCAATTGTGTGGCTATATCACATTTTATTTATTCATCAGTTGATAGACATTAAGGTAGTTTCTACTTTTTGCCTATTATGAATAATGCTGCTATAAACATTCTGTGAGTGATTTTGTTCTCTTGGGTAGGTACCCAGGAATGGAATTGAGTTGTATGGTAAATTTATATTTAATTCTTTCAGAGGGCTGTACGTATTTTTAAATTCCCTTTTTAAAAACAGCTTTATTGAGCTACAATTTGCATACCATAGAATTCACCTGTTTTAAGTGTGCAATTCAACGAATTTTAGTCTATTTATAGAGCTGGATAGCCATCACCATGAGCACAATCTAATTTTAGAACATTTCTATCAGTCTAAAAAGAAATTTTGTGTCCACATATCTAATCCCAGACCTCACAACCTCTAATCTTCTTTCCGTCTTTATATATTTTCTTTTTCAAAACATTAATATGAACTGAAACATACAATATGTGGTGTTTTGGGTCTGGTTTCTTTCACTGGGCATATGTTTATAATTAATTCACATTGTACAATGTAGTAGTACTTCACTCCTTTTTATTGTCAAATAATATTTCATTGTATGGATATGCCACGTTTTGTTTATCTGCTCAGTGGTTAATGGATATTTGGGTTGTTTCTGCTTTTTGACTCTTGTGAACAATACTGCTATGGACATTCATGTACAAGTGTTTGTGTGGATGCATGTTTTCATTTCTCTTGCATAGGTACCTAGGAGTGAAATTGCTGTATTATATAACAAGTAAATATTTAACCTTCTAAGGAACTGCTAAACTGTTTTCCAAACTGGCTGCACTATTTATGAGGATTCCAGTTTCTCCCTATTCTCACCAACACTTGTGATTGTCTTTTTTTATTATAGCTATTATAGCGATAATTTTTTATTATCGCTATTATAGCTAGTAGAGGTAAAGTAATATCTCATGTGTGGTTTCTGTTTGCTTGTTTTTTTTTGAGATGAGGTCTTACTCTGTTGTCCAGGCTGGAGTGTAGTGGCATGATCATGGCTCACTGCAGCCCCCAGCACCCAGGCTCAAGTGATTCTCTGCCTCAACCTCCCAAGTCACTGGAACTACAGATATCCCATCACACTCAGCTAAGTTTTAAATTATTTGTAGAGATGGGGTCTTGCTGTGTTGCCCAGGCTGATCTCAAACTCTCGGGCTCAAGTGATCCTCCCACCTTGGCCTCCGAAAGTGCTGAGATTACAGGCATGAGCCACCATGCCTGGCATCTCATGTGGTTTTAATTTGCATTTCCTTAACAACTAATGACATTGAACATATTTAAATGTGCTTATTGGCCATTTGTATATCTGTTTTGGTCAAACGTTTTGCCCATGTTTCAATTGGGTCATTTGTCTTCTTATTGTATTGTAAGGATTCTTTACATATTGGGGGATATTATGAGATACATGATTTACTGTTGTTTTCTCCCAGTCCAAGGCGAATCCTTTCCTTTTCTTAATGGAATCTGTTGAAACATTTTTGAGGAAAGAAAGGATGAAATACAGCCATGCTTCAGAAAGGTATATATATATTCTACCCAGACAGCAGTAGGTAGGATGGATCAAAAGCGACAGAGAACTCTTTTTGAAAGTTGTAATAAAGGAAACAGGAAGAGGCCAAGTTTTTAAAAATTATCCGGGAATCAAAGGGTTATAAGCAGCTATTTATTGAAGCCTGTTTACAGTCCAGTTAACCAGTAAACCAGAATCAGTGAAACTACCCATCTAGGCAAGTGCAAAAAACCTTTCAAAAGGCTTTTCTGGATTTGGAAAGGGAAGGGAGAGTGAGGGAGAAGAGATGAGAGGCTACTCCAGAGCGGCATAAAGAATTTCCAGCCTTGGACGGACAGTTGGGAACGACTTCCAGGGGCTGGCGTTTACAGGCGAGGCGGGAAGCCCCTCAGGCCTTGGATTTTGGCGGGTGAAGGGGCCAGGTTGCTGCCGGAGGTGGGGCGCGTTTCAGTGGCTCTCTTTCAAAAAGCCCAGCAAGATGCCAGACCTGCTCTCAGTCTTTCTCCACCTCCTCCTTCTATTTAAGCTGGTTGCCCCGGTGACCTTCCGCCACCACCGCTATGATGATCTTGTGCGGACACTGTACAAGGTGCAAAACGAATGCCCCAGCGTCACGCGGGTCTACAGCATTGGGCGCAGCGTGGAGGGGAGACACCTATACGTGCTGGAGTTCAGCGACCACCCTGGAATCCACGAGCCCTGTAAGTCCTGAACAGCTCTTGAGGGTGTGTGGGCAGGGCCCTTCCCTTGCAAATCCAGTAATTGGGGTGTTTTCTGGGGAGGTCCGTGGACTCCTCCACCTACAAGGAATTACCACTTTCTCAGCCTGTGCTGTTTCCCTCTTAGCCCTCAAACTGCCACTGCCTCTGGGAGTCACAGCCCTCATTCAGGCTTCAGCCCTTTCCTCCTTTTTGAATTCTGTTTGCTCAAAACCTTAATGGCAAAAGATGAGTCTTCTTCCCTGCTCATGTCCCACCCCACTTCCGTTTCCCCATTACCTTTCTTTTCCCCTTGCTATTATTCTGTTTTTCTGGATCCACTGGCTCAGGAGACACAGGCAGAAACAATGAGCCCTTCTAGTTGTGCCAGGAAACTTAAAAGGGAATAGGGAGATCTCAGGAGTGACAATGTAGTGTTCTAGAGAGAGTTTGGGGACTGAGGTGTTTATTTTATTTACTGGATTCTTAATTTTTTCGAGACGGAGTCTCTCTCTGTCACCTGGGCTGGAGTGCAATGGTGCAGTCTTGGCTCACTGCAACCCTGCCTGCCGGGTTCACACGATTCTCCTGCCTCAGCCTCCCAAGTAGCTGGGATTACAGGCACCTACCACCACACCAGGCTAATTTTTTGTATTTTTAGTTGAGACAGGGTTTCACTATGTTGGCCAGACTAGTCTCGAACTCTTGACCTTGTGATCCACCCAAAGTGCTGGGATTACAGGCAGGAGCCACCATGCCCGGCCTTTTTTTTTTTTTTTTTTTTTGAGGCAGGGTTTGGCTCTGTTGTCCAGGCTGGAATGCAGTGACATGATCTCAGCTCACTACAGTCTTGACCTTTTGGGCTCAGGTGATCCTTTCCCCTCAGCCTCCTACTTAGCTGGGACCACAGGCATGCGCCACCACCCCCGGCTACTTATTGTATTTTTAGTAGAGAAGGGCTTTCATCATGTTACCCAGGCTAATCTCAAACTCCTGGGCTCAAGTGATCTGCCCACCTCAGCCTCCCAGTGTTGGGATTACAGGCATGATCTACTGCACCCAGCCTGGATTCTTTTTTAGTTTTTTTCTACTATAGAGAGCAATCCATGTTTGGATTAAAATTTAGAAATTACATAAGGAAGAAAATAATAAAACTCACCCCAAATCCCACCTCTGTTAACCTATTGATGTATATCCTTCCAGACTTTTTTCTATGAATGTTTAAACCCCCGACACAAACACATGTAATTGTTTCTGTAGAAATGGACTTGTATTATAACTGCCCTTCTTATTTCACAATCTGTTATGGACAGCATCCATGTGTACAAGTACAGATCTTCACCATCGTGGTGTTGGCTGCATAATAGCTCATTGTATGACTGTATGTAACTGTCCATGTATTGATGGACATTCAAGTTGTTTCTAATTTCTCATTGCTTTCCTTACCAATTCCTCCTTCAAATTGTCAACTTCAAATCTCCCTTTACCTCTCCACTTCCACATCCCCTGCCCGAATCCAGACTCCATCACAAGCTGCCTAAATGATTGCACTGAACTCCTAACTGATCTCTAACTTTTTTTTTTTTGACATGGCATCTCGCTCTGATGCCCAGGCTGAAGTGCAGTGGTGTAATCTCAGGTCACTGCAACCTTCACTTCCCTGGTTCAAGCCATTCTCCTGCCTCAGCCTCCCAAGCAGCTGGCAGGCATGTGCCACCACAGCTGGCTAATTTTTTAAATTTTTAGTAGAGACAGGGTTTCACTCTCTTGGCAAGGCTAGTCTCGAACTCCTGACCTCAAGTGATCCACCCACCTTGGCATCCCAGACTGCTGGGATTACAGGCGTGAGCCACCACGCCCAGCCAGGTCTCTAATTTCTAACTGCTGCACTCTTTGAACCTTCTATTTGGTACACAGATGCTAGAAAAATTTTCCTAAATCAATACATAATCCCACTTTTCTGCTTTAAAAGCCTCACACTCAATGGACTGGCTATGAGATTCAGAATATTGCATAGTGGAGGCTCAAAGAAGGCCATGGGGTTACCTAGGATAATTGCCTCACTTTAAAGCTGCACTTTCATAGCAAGCAGCCTGCTGTCAATCAGATCACATGTTCATTGTGGAAGCTTGTGAGTGTTCACGGACATCATGGGGTTAGCCCCCCAACACTCCGAGCCTCCTTCTTGGTGCTCCTGTACTTTCTACCATTCAAAGCCTTCCTTGAAGCTTTTTCATAGGACTCTGGCCCTCACTATTCCCTCTTTTCTCTGAAGCACTGTAGCTGCTATTCACTCATTCATTCCTTTCATTCCTTCATCCATTCCACAAATATTTACCAATCACCTACAATATGCAAGCACTTTTGTAGTCTCTGGAAGTACAGCAGAAAATAAAACAACGACCCTGCCCTCATGGACCCAAATTCTAGTGGGGGTAAGACTGACAATAAATGGGTAACTAAGTAATACATATTACATCAGATGGAAGTAAGTGCTGTAGAGAAAACTAAATCAGGAAAAAGAGATAGGGATGCCATGGAGGAAGACGAGGAGAGGTGCTCAGGAGAGGCGTCTCCACTGAGGTGGCTTTGAGGAGAGCTGAAGGATGGTGTGATGGCACATGCCTTGCTGACACGGGGGAGGAAGAGATGGGCGCAGAGGGAAGAGCAAAGGCAGTGCTCTGGAGCATGCTTGGCACATGTGAGGAGCAGCAATGGGGCCAGTGCAGCCCTAGCCGAGTGAGCGAGGGGAGAGCAGGAGAGGAGGTCACAGCCATGTGATGGGGCCACCAGGCAATAGGACATCATCAGGGCCTCATAGGCCCTGGTAAAGATTTGGGGTTTTACTTTGAGTCAAGTGAGAAGCCACTGGAAGGTTTTTTAAGCCGAAGAGAGACTAGATCTGACTCAGAATTTTTAAAGATCACTCAGAACAGGGGTCAGCAAACTACAGCCTGAGGGCTAGCCACCTGTCTTGGTAAATGAAGTTTTATGGGAACACAGTCATGCCCATTCACTTTTATCTTGTCCGTGGCTGCTTTTGCTGGAAGAGTTGAGTAGCCTTGACGGAGACAGCACAGCCCACAAAGCCTAAAGGATTTACTCTCTAGTCCTTTATAAAAACGTTTTGTCAATCCCTAACTCTGGAGAATAGACTTTAAAGGGGCTAGGCAGCTGCAGGGAGACCAAGTGGGAGATTTATGGCAATGACCTAATATTGCTAATAGTGCCAAGTTTGAGGGTGCAGGGGCTTGACCAAAATGATAGCAGTGATTGTTAGGAGAAGTGGTTATATTCTAGATATATTGACAGTAGAGGCCAGCTGTAGTGGCTCATGTCTGTAATCCCAGTACTTTGGGAGGATTGCTTGAGACCAGAAGTTTGAGACCAGTCTGGGCAACATAGTGAGACCTTGTCTCTATAACACATTTTTTTAGAAAATTAACCTGGCGTGGTGGTGTGCACTTGTGGTCTCAGCTACTCAGGAGGCTGAGGTGGGAGAATGGTTTGAACCAAGGAATTTGAGAGGCTGCCTGGAGCCATGATTGTGTCACTGAACTCTAGCATGAATGATTGAGCAAGACCCTATCTCAATAAACAAACAAACAAACAAACAAATAAATAAAGATAAGAGAAGAAAAAGGAGAGCCAAAAGAATTCAATATTCAGGATCTACTAAGTGCATGGCACTGTCCAAAGTTCCATAGGGTAGTGGTTCCCAGACTTATAGATTTCATAAAGCAGTTAAAAAGTTTTTTTTTAAATAAGAGACTGGAGATAACTAAAACAGATCTTCCAAATTTTATTTTATTGAATAAGGATATGAAGAAAACTACCTGTCGTCTATTATATCCATCCTTTTCTAACAGAAAGGACATTTTAACACCAAGAAAAGTAAGAAAGACATAATCTACAATTAAAAAAAAATACACTAAGATTAAAGAATACCCATGATAGAAAATCTACCACATGATTCTTGGGGGTTATCAGCATTCCTCTGAGAAAAACTGCTGTAGATATACTAAGATAAATAATAATGGATGGTGTCACAAATTAAAAATTATGTACATTCCTAAGGCCAGGTCCAGTAAAGGAAATAGAACACGTACAAAAATAGGTAAAACCCTGCCAGGCACCGTGGCTCGCACCTGTAATTCAAGCACTTTGGGAGGCTGAGGCTGGCAGATCACCTGAGGTCAGGAGTTTGAGACCACCTGGCCAACATGGCGAAAACCCATCTCCACTAAAAATATAAAATTTAGTCAGGTGTGGTGGCAGACACCTGTAGTCCTAGCTATTTTGGAGGCTGAGGCAGGAGAATCACTTGAACTCAGGAAGCGGAGATTGTAGTGAGCCGGGATTACACTGCTGTACTCTAGGGTGGGCGATAGAGCAAGACTCTTGTCTCAAAAAAAAAAAAAAAAAAAAAAAAAGTAAAACCCAGGAAGTCAACAGAGAGCTCTCTCTCATCAAGGAGAACCCAGGATTACTTCCCAGAGTATCACATGGACTGGGCCTAGAAGGGTGGTGAGGAGGATTTGGAAAGAGAAGATGGAGAGGTACAGAACCAGAAAAGTCGTGGAGGCAGGAAAGTGTTGGGTGGAAGAGAAATCACTTGCAGGAGCCTCTTCTTTTAAAAGAGGGCAAGAGCTGGGCCCTGTGGCTCAGATCTTTAATCCCAGCACTTTGGGAGGCAGAGGCAGGCAGAACATGAGGTCAGGAGATTGAGACCATCCTGGCTAACACGGTGAAACCCCATCTCTACTAAAAATACAAAAAATTAGCTGGGCATGGTGGCAGGTGCCTGTAGTCCCAGCTACTTGGGAAGCTGAAGCGGGAGAATCACTTGAACCTGGGAGGCAGAGGTTGCAGCGAGCCGAGATCATGCCACTGCACTCCAGCCTGCACAACAGAGCAAGACTCTGTCTCTAAATAACTAAATACATACATAAATAAGGGCAGGAATGATTTTCTTTTCTTTCTTTCTTTTTTTTTTTTTTTTCTTTTGGAAATGGAGTCTCGCTCTGTTACTAGGCTGGAGTGCAGTGGCACGATCTCGGCTCACTGCAAACTCCGCCTCCCAGGTTCAAGTGATTCTCCTGCTTCAGCTTCCCAAGTAGCTGGGATTACAGGCACCCACCACTATGCCCAGCTAATTTTCGTATTTTTAGTAGAGGTGGGGCTTCACCGTGTTGGCCAGGATGGTCTCGATCTCTTGACCTCGTGACTTACCTCGGCTCCCAAAATGCTGGGATTATAGGCGTGTGCCACCGCGTCTCGCCATGGAATGATTTTCTCTAGGTGATCCCAGAAGCTTTCAGATCCTCAATTCTCACCTCAAGTTAAACAATTATCAGGGCCAAAGAGAAGACTAAGCAATGAGACATAGTCTTCCTATTCTATGCCTCCAGACTTGGCCTGCTTGGATTTGAAGGAGTGATTTTAGTTTTCTCGTACTGCAGTGGGGAGAATGGAGAACCAGCTCAGTCCTGCCCACAATCCTATTCTTTGGGGTGGGAGGGAGTGGGGAAAATCTCTACCAGCCCACTCAATCTTAGAGCCATCTCTGCAGAGCTGGTCACCTCTGCTCACCTGCTGTGTTCTTATTCAGATGGAGCAAGAAACTTTTCGAGGAGTAAGAAAATGAAGTTTTCAACTGGGATCATTAGCAGCTGTTATGCTTAAACCTAGAGTACTTCACGAGAGCAGGTTCTAGGGAAACATCCTTATCCTGAACGGTTTGTCTCTCAGAAGCAGTGTACTACTGTAAATGGCACTCTAAGTGCCACCTGGGCTTGGGCCTCCATCAGAGCCATAAGCTAGGCAACCTCAGACAAGTTACTTAACCTCCCGCATCCTTATTACCCTCACCCTGAGGCTATTCCTGCCCATTTTACAGGTTTTCTGTGAAGAGTAGCAGTACTGAACATAACTGTCTAGTACACTACAAGGGTTCAGTAAATGGCACTGATTATTATCCCTGGCATGACTTTTGTAGCTTTTGTCGTTGTAATTGGTTAAGAAGCGGCTCAGGGATTATTGCAAAAGACCCATTTTTTTTTTTTCATTCATTACTGAAAAAGAGAAAAAAGGTCCTTGTGCAAGGCTAGGCATCCATGGCACTTCCAAGCGTTCCCCATTTTTTCTCTTCCTTGCATTTTTCCCTTGCAGTGGAGCCGGAGGTCAAGTATGTGGCAAACATGCACGGCAACGAAGCGCTGGGCCGCGAGCTGATGCTGCAGCTGTCGGAGTTCCTGTGCGAGGAGTTCCGGAACAGGAACCAGCGCGTCGTCCGGCTCATCCAGGACACGCGCATTCACATCCTGCCATCCATGAACCCCGACGGCTATGAGGTGGCTGCCGCTCAGGTACGAGGTCCAAGGGAGATGCTGGGGAGAGATGAAGGCTTTCGTAGGAAATAAAGGCCAGTGGACAAGATGCCTTCTCTTTCCCACTGTAAATGTCACAAATGTTAAAAGACAAAATGGCCAAGAGAAAAAAACCCCATCAGAAATATAAGAAAGGATGAAGACGAGGGTTCAGTCCTACAGCAGCGCAGGCAATAAACGTGGGCTCTCTCTGAGCCTGCATTCCCCCAACACCTTTCCAGATGACCTCAGGATTTTACTGTGAGGATTAATGTGGCAACATCTGTGGCAACGCTTTATAATCTGGAAAATACTCGACCGATGTGGAGGGATATTGCAAAATAAACCTCCTTTCCTGAACTTTTAGCTTCAAACCCTAAATACCTTTCTTCCTTCCATACTGCATTCCCATTTGCATTTGCAGAGAAAATATCCAGGACAACAGGCTTTCCCCAGAATTGGGAAGGGGGAAAGGGGGCTAATTCTAGATTCTTCATACTTATTATATTTCCAGAGTTGTTTACTAGTATAGTACTTAGCCTATTGATTCTATATTTTAGAGTTATATTTGCAGTAGGACCAATAAGAAAAAATGTCTAAGGACTTTAAAAAAAAATTTTTTTTTGAGATGGAGTCTTGCTGTGTTGCCCAGGCTGGAGTGCAGTGGCGCAATCTCAGCTCACTGCCACCTCTGCCTCCTGGGTTCAAGTGATTCTCCTGCCTCAGCCTCTGGAGTAGCTGGGACTACAGGTGTGTACCACCATGTCCAGCTAATTTTTTGTATTTTTAGTAGAGACAGGGTTTCACCAGGTTGGTCAGGCTGGTCTCCAACTCCTAGCCTCACGTGATCCACCCACCTTCGCCTCCCAAAGTGTGAGATTACAGGCATGAGCCACCACGCCTGGCAGGACTTTTTACTTTATTTTCTAACATAAATTCAAAATATCAGAGTGCCTAACATTATTATTATTATTAACATCTTGAGTGTTTTGGGCCAATGTGCCTAACTTTAAATCAGTGGTTCTGCTTTGTGGCTGTGCCTCAGAATCACAAGTGAAGATTTTGAAATACAGATTCCCAGGTCCCACCCTAGACCTACCGAATTAGAATTGTCTAGGGTGAGGCCAGGAATCTCTCTGCCTTGCACAATGGAGATGTTCCTTTAAAATCTGTGTTTAAAAGGTGGGGTTTTCTTAGGCAGAGTATGTGAAGGCATATTTTAAACCGTCTTGAGGATAGGGCTGGGGGTAAGTAGAGGCAGAGAGAGGAATGGAGCCAGGACGTTGAACCAAACACAAACTTGACTCTTGCAGTCTTACCACTTCCTGCTGAAATGACCCAACAAATGAAGAAAAAGAACTTTGTTTCATCCCTGGAAAGTGGGTACCATCAGGGTGGTACCCACTACTTTTCCTCGAGACTTAGTTCCCAAAGAGCAGGAAAATTAGAAAGAGGTGTGGGAGGGAATCCCAGCCTGGCTGATTTCTTTCTATTAGCCCTTTGCTGTATTGCAGTGAGGAGAAGGGAGAACCAGCTCAGTCCTGCCCACATCCTTTGCAGTAGGTAGGGTGAGAGGGAGTGGGGAAAACCCCTGCCAGCCCACTGAATCTTAGAGCCATCTCTGGGAAGCTGGTCACCTCTGCTCACCTACCGTGTTGTTGTTCAGAGGGAGCAGATCTTGAACCTGAACCCCAGAGAGGACCCATCAGATTCTCAGACTCTCAGAGATACCTTCCATGCCCAGAGGCAAGCTGTCTGCGTGGCTACACAGAGAAGACCTTCCTGGACACCAGACTTTAAAGCTGCTTGTAGGTAGCCAGAATAATCCCACCAAAGATGTCCACATCCTAATCCTTAGAACGTATAAATATGTTATTTTATTGGGCAAGGAAGAATTAAGGTTGCAGATGGAACTAAGGTTGCTAATCAATTGACCTTAAAATAACCTGGAGTACTAGGGGGACGGGGCCAGTGTAATCAATTACAATGATCCTTTAAATGTAGAAGAGGGAGGCCAAAGGTCACAGTCAGAGAGAGATCTGAAGATGTTCCGTCGGCTGGCTTTAAAGATGGAAGAGCCAAGGAAGCTGGAAAAGTTGGGGCACAGATTCCCCTAGACTCCTAAAAAAACGTAGCCCATTGACACCTTGCTTTTAGGCCTGTGAGACCCATTTTATTCTCAGACCTCCAAAACTATGAGACAATTCACTCATGCTGTTTTAAGCCACTAAATTTGTGGTAATTTGTTACAGCAGGAATAGGAAACACCACACTAGCTCTGTTTATGGAAATCTTCTGTCAACAGTTAGCCTAACTATTGACCAGTATGCAGGGAAATTAGCAGATAATGACCAGAGGTGTTTATACTGACAGTCAAGAATGCCTTGATATAATAAGAAAAAAAAACAAAACAGGGCCTTGGTATAAATCAGCAAGCAGTGACAAGCCAGTGGAAGCATAAAGAAAATGATTATGTCACAGAAGTATACACCAAAATGAAAGACCCAATAAATGTTTTCCACTGGAACAGAAGTGACGTAGGAAACTTAAAGGAACTTTAAAAAAAAAAAATGATGTTTTCAATGGGATCTAAAAATAAAATACAAGCAGGGTGCCATGAAAAAAGAGAAATCTGAGAACAATACAGAATTCTTAGAATACAGAATGCTTAGAAAAAGTGTGATCTGCTACATTTCATTGGTTAGCAGGGAAAATTTGAGAGTAGCAGTACATCTGCAAGATTCTAGCTGCCCGGCATCCATTCATTCACTTCCAGGAACAGCCAACAATTTGGGCTCTACCTTCTCAGTCTATAGGGACCCAGTTGGCACTATTTCCCTTCTCCAATGCCACACAAAACATTAAAAGGAATTTCAGTTTTGAATGAGGCTTTTAACAATTTTGAATGAGCCTTTGAATGAGATAGAATAGAGATGATAGAATACCTCTATTCTATCACTTTATGTATTTAATTATTTACGTATATGTTCATCTCCCGATGTGTACTATGAATTCCAAGACGGCTAGACGACAATGTCTCACTTATCTCTTTCCCCAGTGTCTAGCTGAGAGCTCTGAATAGAGAAGGACTTAAGTAAATGTTGACTGACTACACTGATGACCTAATGAGTGAATGAATACCTGAGCAAATAAATGAAAAATCTGAAATATGGACAGAGAAGTTAAGGGATCCAGAAAGTTGATATTGCTTAGAAGATAAGTAAGGATCCTAAATTTCTTGAAAGGGGGAGAAGTGAGTTTCCATAGTGTAACCACTTTGAAAAACAGTTTAACTGTTTCTCGAAAAGTTAAACATAAGGCCAGGCATAGTGGTTCACGTCTATAATCCCAGCACTTTGGGAGGTGGGTGGATTGCATGAGCCCAGAAGTTTGAGACCAGCCTAGGCAACATAGCAAAGCCCCATCTTTACAAATAATTTAAAATTAGCCAGATGTGGTGGCATGTGTCTGTAAGTTCCAGCTACCAGGCCGAGGTGGGAGGACCACCTGAGTCCAGGAGTTTGAGGCTGCAGTGAGCCATGATCATGTCATGGCACTCCAACCTGGGCAACAGAGTGAGACCCTGTCTCCAAAAAAAAAAAAAAAAAAAAGTTAAAAATAGACTTAGCTTATGACTCAGCAGTTCTACTTACCAATATCTACCTAGAGGAAATGGAAACATACATCCACACAAAGACGTACATGAATATTCAAAGCAGCATTATTAGCAATAACCGAAAGGTGAAAACAACTCAAATGTCCATGGATCTCCCCCTACTACCCCTTGCCAAAATTCACATTCACCTGAAACCTGTGAATATGATCTTATTTGGAAAGACATAATCATCCTTCGGTATCTGTAGGTGATTGGTTGCAGGACCCCTAACCAATACCAAAATCCTTGGATGCTCAAGTCCCCTATAGAAAATGGCATAGTATTTGCATATAACTTATGCATATCCTCCTGTATATTTGAAATAATCCCTAGATTATTTATGTTACCCAATACAATGTAAATGCTACGTAAACCCTTGTTACAATGTACTGTTTAGGGAATCATGACAAGAAAAAAGTATATACATGTTCAGTACAGATGCAACCATTATAGGTCTAACTATATTTTCTTTTCTTCTTTTTTGAGACAGAGTCTAGCTCTGTCACCCAGGCTGTAGTGCAGTTGTGCTATCTTGGCTTACTGCCACCTCTGCCTACTGGGTTTAAGTGATTCTCCTGCCTTAGCCTCTCAAGCAGCTGGGACTACAGGCACGTGTCACCATGCCCGGCTAATTTTTGTATTTGTAGTAGAGATGGGGTTTCACTATGTTGGCCAGGTTGGTCTTGAACTCCTGATCTTAGGTAATCCAGCCACCTTGGCCTCCCAAAGGGCTGAGATTACAGGCGTGAGCCACCACACCCGGCCCCTAACTACACTTTCAATCAGAGGTGGGTTGAATCCACAGATTTGGAACCCATGGATATGGGGGGCCTACTGAGGGTCTTTACAGATACAATTAAGTTAAAAGGAGGTCACATAGGATCAGAGTGGACTCTACATCCAGCATAACTGGTGTCCTTATAAGAAGAAAGAAATTTGTGAATAGAGATGTGGACAGACTAGGAAGGAGACCATGTAAAGATGAAAGCAGAAATTAGAGTGATGTGTTTACAAGCCAAGGAACACCAAGGATTGCCTCCAGCCACCAGAAGCTGGAAGAAACAAAGAGGAGAACCAGAGAGTGTGCCACCCCTCCAGTTGACTTGATTACAACTTCTGGCCTCCAGGAAATAAATTGGAGAATAAACTGCTGTTTTATGAGCCACTTAGTTTGTGGTGATTGTTATAGCAGCCCTAGGAAACTAATACAGTTTCCTAATACTAATAGTATTGAACTAATACTAACAATAATGGTGAATGGATAAACAATATGATAAATCCACATAATGGAACTGTTCAGCAATAGAAAGAAATGAAGTTCTGATACATACTACAAGGTAGATGAACCTCACAAACATTATGCCGAGTGGAGGAAAAAAAAACCACAAAAGAACACATAATGTATGACCCACTTATGTGATATGTCCAGAAGAGGCAAATCTAAGGAGACAGAAAGTGGTTACCTAGGGCTGGGATGAAAATGAGGAGTGACCGTAAATGCAAATGAGGTATCTATTAAGGGTGACAGAAATGTTCTAAAATAAGATTGCAATGATGGTTATACAACTCTGTACATATACTAAAATTCATTGAATTATACACTGAAAATGAGTGAATTTTATAATATATGAATTACATCTCAATAAAGCTGTTTATGAAACATTGGGGTAAGCCGGGCATGGTGGCTCATGTCTGTAATCCCAGCACTTTGGGAGGCCAAGGCAAGTGGATCACCTGAGGTTGGGAGTTCAAGACGAGCCTGACCAACATGAAGAAAACTCTGTCTCTACTAAATATATAAAATTAGTCTGATGTGGTGTTGCACGCCTGTAGTCCCAGCTACCTGGGAGGCTGAGGCAAAAGAATTGCTTGAACCCAGAAGGCGGAGGTTGCGGTGAGCTAAGATCACACCATTGCACTCCAGCCTGGGCAACCAGAGCAAAACTCCAACTCAAAAAACAAACAAAAAAATTGGGGTTCCCATGATCCTGAAACACTCTACTCTTATTAGAACTTCTCTTGAGATATGTACCTCTTGCCCATGATCTACAGGGAAACTTGAAGCACACCACCGTGACTTTGGATAAGTTAAAGAAGAAAATGATTCATCTTCCTGTGATGGGGACTAAAGGAAAAAAAAATGCCACATCATGTGATTAAGCAAATATCTAAGAACCATACAATGTCCTTCAAATATAGGATTCATGGCTGTGTCGGTGGCTCTTGGCTGTAATCTCAGCACTTTGTTTGCTTTGTGTTTTTTTTTTTTTTTTTTTGACAGCCTTGCTCTGTCACCCAGGCTGTAGTATAGTGGTGCAATTTTGGCTGACTGCAGCCTCCACTTCCTGGGTTCAAGTGACTTTCATGTCTTAGCCTCCCAAGTAGCTGGGACTACAGGCATGTGTCACCACACTGAGCTGATTTTTGTATTTTTTAGCAGAGATGGTGTTTCACTGTTTTGGCCAGGCTTATCTTGAACTCCTGCCCTCAAGTGATCTACCCGCCTCTGCCTCTCAAAGTGCTCAGATTACAAGCTTGAGCCACGGCACCTGGCCTCTCACTACTTTGGAAGGGTGCTGTGGGTGGATCACTTGAGCCCAGGCATTTGAGACCAGCCTGGGCAACCAGCCTCATCTCTACCAAAAAAAAAAAAAAAAAAAAAAAAAACAGGAAGAAAAGAAAGAAAAAAGAAAAATTAGCTGGTGTGGTGGCATGTGCTTACAGTCCCAGCTACTCAGGAGACAGGTAGGAGGATTGCTTCAGCCTGGTAGGTGTAGATTGCAGTGAGCCAAGATTGTATCACTGCACTCCAGCCTAGGCAACAGAGCGAGAATCTGTCTCTAAAAAAAAAAAGAAAAGAAAAGAAAAAGAAAATGTAGGATTAATCTGAAACCTTCATTTTTCATCTTTTCATTTTCCCCTTAGGGCCCAAACAAGCTTGGGTATCTAGTTGGCAGGAACAATGCAAACGGAGTGGATCTGAACCGCAACTTCCCTGATCTCAACACTTACATCTACTACAATGAAAAGTCCGGAGGCCCCAACCACCACCTGCCCCTTCCAGACAACTGGAAAAGTCAGGTAGGAGATGAAATTTGCAAACAAAGCAGGTAAATCAGCATCTGGAATTTCTTGCAGAAAGACTGCTAAACCGGCTAGGCACGGTGGCTCCTACCTGTAATCCCAGCACTTTGGGAGGCCGAGGTGGGTGGATCACGAGGTCAAGATGGTAAAACCCTGTCTCTACTAAAAATACAAAATTACCTGGGCATGGTGGCAGGCGCATGTAATCCCAGCTTTTCAGGAGGCTGAGGCAGAGAATTGCTTGAACCTGAGAGACGAAGCTTGCAGTGAGCTGAGATCACACCACGGCACTCCAGCCTTGGTGACAAAGCAAGACTCCCTCTCAAAAAAAAAAAAAAAAAAAGAAAGAAAGAAAGACTGCTAAGCTATCTTCACATCAACTAACAAGCAAGAATTAAGTATCAACTCAACTCAGTGTTAACCCATCTAGAGCAATAATACCTATTACTTCTGCAGCTTTGTGTTTTCTCCCCCAGCATAGAGCACTCCATGGAGCACACACTGACTAAATGTTTGATGTTAGCGGTGATTGTGGTGAAGTAGATGAAAGCAGTATCATATGGTTGCATGGTTCTTAACAATTTTCCAAAATTATTTCATAGCCAGGTTCAGTTGATCGTGACATCATGTGGTGAAATGCGTCAAACAGTGTTATCCATCTCTGATTTATGGCTATTACACTTAGAGAGAAAATAATTTACATTCTCACAGGTAGTAATTGATGGAATCAGGATGAAGATGCAGGCCTTCTGATTCTTATTCTAACATTCTTTTTACTATGCTTGACTATGGACAGAGAACTCTAGCATTCTATAGAGAAGTCTGTCTCACATGTGATAAACTATATGCTTATCAACAATTAGCTATAGAAAGAGGTTCAGGCCGGGTGTGGTGTCTCACCCCTGTAATCCCAGCACTTTGGGAAGCTGAGATGGGAGGATTGCTTGAGGCCAGGAGTTTGAGACCAGCCTGGGCAGCATAGTGAGGCCCCATCTCAACAAAAGAAAAATATAAAATTTAGCTGGATATAGTGGCTTATGTTGTAGACTTAGCTATTTGGAAGGATCCCTTGAACGTAGAAGTTCAAGAATTCAAGATGACAGTGAACTATTATCCTGCCTGTTCCAGCCAGCCCTGGCGACAGAGCAACAGAGCAAGACCCTGTCACCAAAAAAAAAAAAAAAAAAAAAAAAAAAAGGTTTAGGGAATCTAACCCTTAGTTGTTCCTTTTCCCTTTCTATACGACCCTTGACCCCTTTATCATGACTCTACTCTCTCTGATTTGCCTTACTCTTCCAGTGGGAGGATCCATTTGCTACTCCTAGGTCTCACTGTCCAGGAGGCCTGTAATGGAAGTCCTTGGTAATGTGAGTGGTTTCACCTGCTGGTGGGCCTGCTCCTGAAAATAACTAGGCATCCTCTGAGCATCACTGCCACCCCTGGTGATCATACTGTGTGGGGTAGTTTGAAACATTCTATTTGTGAATGTCTAAACTTAGAGACTGGGGAAAGAAAAGCAAAGCAGGTGTAACTGGGAGTTTCCCAAATGGAATACCCTGGGCTTTTTTTCTCTCTTGAAAATGAAGCAAAGGCCATGCTGGTATGTTAGATTTCAGACAGCAACTATCCTTTTGGTTCAAGTAAATAGCAAATAAAAAATAACTTTGTAAGGCTGGGTGCAATGTCTGTAATCCCAACACTTTGGGAGGCAGAAGTGGGTGGATCAGCTGAGGTCAGGAGTTCGAGACCAACCTGGCTAACATGGTAAAAACCACATCTCTACTAGAAATACAAAAATTAGCCAGGTGTGGTGTGGGTGCCTGTAATCCCAGCTACTTGGAAGGCTGAGGCAGGAGAATCGCTTGAACCCAGATGGTGATGGTTAGAAATTGCATCACTGCATTCCAGACTGTGTGACAGAGCGAGACTCCATCTCAAAAAAAAAAAAAAAAAAAAAACACCAAAAACCAAAAAAACAAAAAACTTTGTGTTAGTCAGCATATCCAGCCAGAAGAATGTTCTGATGTTCAACTTGTTCCTCTAAGTAAAAGAAGATAATTGAATCAATGATAACTAGACTCCCACTCAATCCTCGTCTAAATTTTGAAGGAAAAAGCAATGAGATTTCCCTCACTCCTGATGGAACAGCCTTGAGGAAGAGGAACAGTGAGAAGTTGGCCTTATTCTGATAGACAGAGGCTTAGGACACAAAGAACTGCTCCAGAGGGTCTGAGCCCTGGTCACAGACCAAGACTGGTGCCCTCGAAATGTTATCCATTCTGATTGAGATTCAACCCTACTTATCCAGTCCCCTTGGCATGGAAAAGATGGAGCCTTTAGAGCTGACCCATGGTCCAGGAGGAGCCATTAACACAGGAACACCACGTAATATCTAAGCATGTTCATCCCGAGAGGAGGAAAAACACAGAAGACTGTAAATTATTTACTTAGACTGCAAGTCCAAGTGGATTCAAGGCTTTTTTTTTCCGGAATACCGTCACTAGCTAGCAATATAATATGCAATAGAAAGGGTAGAATTTCACTGCTTAGCCAAGACTGGCCCATCTGACAGTTATGTCTAACCCACGAGATTTGGATATGACCACAGGAGTGTGTTCTACATGTCAACATTACAGCGGGGAAGGAGGAGGTTGAAGCCATCACTGTAAACTAGCATTGTCCAGCAGATTGATTTATTGGAGTCCTAGATTTCTGCTAAGATGACTTAAAAGTCACTGGAGCAGTGGGTAAAACGGAAACCCTTTTCTAGGGTCTAGAGAGAGGCCAAGCTGGGGCTCTGCGCTCTCCAATCATGGTACCTCTTCATATAGAGCTCTTTTTTGGCTGGGAATGGTGGCTCATGCCTGTAATCCCAACACTTTGAGAGGCAGAGACAGGCAGATTGCTTGAGGAGTTTAAGACCAGCCTCTTTGGTTACCGTAGCCTTGTAGTATGAAGTCAAAAAAAGAAAAAAAAAAAAAAAGACTAGCCGTGGCAACATGGCAAAACCCCATCTCTACAAAAAAGACAAAAATTAGCCAGGTGTGGTGTTGCATGCCTGTAATCCCAGCTACTAGGGAGGCTGAGGTGGGAGGATTGCTTGAGTCCAGGAGGTAGAGGCTGCAATAAGCTGAGATTGTACCACTGCATTCCAATCTGGGTGACAGAGTGAGACCCAGTCTCAAAAACAAAACAAAACAAAACAAAAACCAAAAAAAACCTCTCTCTCTCTCTCTCTCTCTCTTTCTCTTTCTCTGTCTCTCCCTCTCTCCCTCCCTCTCCCTCTCCCTTTCTCTCTCAATAGCTTTGTTTTTTTTAGGGTAGTTTTAGGTTCACAGCAAAACTGATCAAAAAGTAGAGAGTCCTCATATACTCCCTGCCCCACTCTGCCCACCCCACCGTCAGCATCCCACCCGAGAGGGGTGCATTTGTCACTGTCAGTCATGAACCTACCAACTTGACTCATCATGAGCATTCTGAGTCCATAGTTACCTTACTGCTCTCTTGGAGTTGTACATTCTGTGGGTTTTGACAAAGGTGTGATGATATATAGCCACCATTATGGTATCATACAGCATAGTTTCCTTACCCTGAATTTGGCTCTCTTTTTACCTAGTTTGTATACTGGGATTCGACGTAAGATTTCATTTTGAGAAAAGTCCTATCCATGCCATTGCTGAAACCATCGTTCCAAAGCTCAGCATTTCCCCGTCTCCCCTTCTCATATCCAGCGGGCGCTCACTGTTCGTTCAGACGTTGCACCTCCTCGGGCCTCTTCCCGACGGCCTTGTTCTAACCGCGTTTGGTTGGTAGCCCCGGTTGCTCCTTCACCATCAGCCTCTCTCCTCCTCCCAGGTGGAACCCGAGACCCGGGCGGTGATCCGGTGGATGCACTCCTTCAACTTTGTGCTTTCAGCCAATCTCCACGGAGGGGCGGTGGTGGCCAATTACCCATACGACAGGTCCTTCCAGCACCCGGTCCGAGGGGTCCGCCGCCCCGCCAACACCCCCACGCCCGACGACAAGCTTTTCCAGAAGGTATGTGGCGCGGCAGCCTGTCCCGCCTGGGGAACCCGGGGCTCAGGAGATGAGCTTAGGGTCAGTCACACAGAGCCCTATTCAGTGCGAGTCCACAGAAAATAATTGAAAACACCGCCCGCTTGTGAGGTGCTTACAGTCTGGGAAATTACATTTTGTTTTGAATGGTAAGCCATAGATGCATAAAAAAGAAAATACAAAGAACGCTTTATAGTAATTACCGCAATGCAGAAAATACTTAGGCCAATGATGAGCGAGAAATATGCCCGAAGACTAATAGTGTGAGTGTCATTAAATGTGAATTTCAGGGGGGTCTAAATTATAATTTTATCATAATATGTCTATATGAATGAAAAATAGACTGTGATGGTATTAGGTGGAGCCTTAAAGAAAAACAGAAAAATTAACTACATGAAAAAGGTTTAAATAGCAATTCAAAATAGAATAAAATATGTTAACATTAATTTTATATTAATAATATGTAAAAAGGTATAATATAATAAATTTGTAATTATTGGCCTGGCACAGTGGCTCACACCTGTAATACCAGCACTTTGGGAGGCTGAGGCGGGCAGATCACGAAGTCAGGAGTTTGAGACCAGTCTGGCCAACATGGTGAAAACCCATCTCTACTAAAAATACAAGAATTATCGGGCATGGTGTGGGCACCTGTAATCCCAGCTACTCAGGAGGCTGAGGCAGGAGAATCACTTGAACTCAGGAAGCGGAGGTTGCAGTGAACTGAGATCACGCCATTGCACTACAGCAGCCTGGGCAACAAGAACAAAACTCTATCTCAAAAAAAAAAAAAAAAAAGGAATTATTTTATAATAAAATATATAAACTAAATTATAAAAATATGTAATATAAATAAACTAATGATATTATTAGTCATTAATGCACTACATGGTGAATAGCACATTGTTTTTTCTCCATCAATCTCACTCTGTCCACTGTTATAAAATAGTAATGAAGTAGAATTGTAGAGTTCAAATATGTTCCTATTCCTCTAACACACACCTCTCACCCCCTAAATACACATTGCTTTTCCTGGAGAAGTCCTACCTTACTTTCTCCTTGATTTCATTGACAAAATTCGGCTAGAAAATGGCACAACAACAAGCGACTTTAAATATCATCTACTGCCACTCCTCACTTTGAGCAAGAGAAAACTCAGCCCCAAGATAGTGACAGAATCAGAATACAGATCTCCTAACTCGAGTCTACCACACATACACTCTCGTAGACACACAGTCACATTCACACACATGCAGTCACGCATACTCACCTACATACACACAGTCTTACACACACATACACTGGCTCTATCCCAGATCCTATTTTATTTCACTAAAGCCAATAATCCACTGATCATGTACCCAGCAGTGCCTCTTGGCTTCACCCTAGTTGTGAGCAGGAGCATTTCCATTTGAGTTGGGAATCATCAAGGTCCTTTTCTGCCTGCTTTTCCTCTAGCTGGCCAAGGTCTACTCCTATGCACACGGATGGATGTACCAAGGTTGGAACTGTGGGGATTACTTCCCAGATGGCATCATCAATGGGGCTTCCTGGTATTCTCTCAGCAAGGGTAAGGGGAGTCCTGGCAACTGCTCAAGTTGAAGTGGAATAGTGCTCATTTCTCCTTCGAAATTCCCAGTTTTCGCCAGGCACGGTGGCTCATGCCTGTAATCCCAGCACTTTGGGAGGCCAAGGCGGGTGGATCACCTGAGGCCAGGAGTTCAAAATCTGCCCGGCCAACATGTTAAGACTCCATCTTTACTAAAAATGCAAAAATTAGCCAGGCATGGTGGTGTGCACTTGAGTCCTAGCTACTCAGGAGGCTGAGACAGGAGAATCACTGGAACCCAGGAGGCAGAGGTTGCAGTGAGCCAAGATCGCGCCACTTCACTCCAGCCTGGGTGACAAAAGCAAAACTCCGTCTCATAAATAAATAAATAAATTTCTTCCCAGTTTTCTCAGGGAAACAATGGGAATAGCATAGAATTTTGCACTCAAGTTGAGATCTGGAAAATGGTGAAGTCTCAGGTTGGCATTTAGTGATCATCTTGTGATTCTTTAAAACTAAAGTAAGGGCCGGGCGCGGTGGCTCAAGCCTGTAATCCCAGCACTTTGGGAGGCCGAGGCAGGTGGATCACGAGGTTGAGAGATCGAGACCATCCTGGTCAACATGGTGAAACCCCGTCTCTACTAAAAATACAAAAAAAAAAAAATGCCGGGCATGGTGGCTCGTGCCTGTAATCCCAGCTACTCAGGAGGCTGAGGCAGGAGAATTGCCTGAACCCGGGAGGCAGAGGTTGCGGTGAGCCGAGATCGCGCCATTGCACTCCAGCCTGGGTAACAAGAGTGAAACTCCGTCTCAAAAAAAAAAAAAAAAAAAAAAAAAACTAAAGTAGGGACACCTTTTGGTCCTGTGAAACTGGTGGTTTACACAATAGATTAGGGCATAGGAGGAAAATAATGCAGTCAAGTGTGGGATCTGAGAGTTAACTGGGTTGAAACCTGGCTTGCCCATTTACTGGTCATGTGGCTGTGGGGTAATTATTTAATCTCTCTGTGCTTTGGTGTCCTCGTCTGTAATTAAGAAGAGTAAGGCCAGGCATGGTGACTCATGCCTATAATCCCAGCACCTTGGGAGGCTGAGAAGGGAAAATCTCTTGAGGCCAGTAGTTTGAGAGCAGCCTGGGCATCATAGTGAGACCTCATTCCTACCAAAAAAAAAAAAAAATAGCCGGGCATGGTGGTGCACACCTGTAGTCCCAGCTAATGTGGAGGCTGAGGTAGGAGGATCACCTGAGCCCAGGAGGTCAAGGCTGCAGTGCAGTGAGCCAAGATTGCACCACTGCACTCCAGCCTAGGCAACAGAGTGAGACTCCATCTGCAAAAAAAAAAAAAAAAAAAGAAAGAATACTTGCCTCATAATTTTTATGTAAGTATTAAATAAAATAATACACATAAGGCATTTGGAAATGCCTGGCTTGTAAATGTTGTAATTGTATTTTAAAAAGTAGCACAGAGGTATGCCTCACATAGCAATGGATGAGCAGAGGAGCTGGCCTGGGCACAATTAGTTTCTCTGAGATACGCTCCCTGACCCAGCTCCTACAAGCAGGAGTTTGCTGTGGACATTGGCCATTGATAACATAGGCTTGAAGAGCAGAAACCTCTACAAGAGACTTCTGTTTCTATCCCGTGGGCCTTCCCCATGATCAGGGGTCAAGATAGGACCTCTGTTTATGAGCCTTCACTGGATAAGGAACTGAAAGATAGAGAAGAGTCTGGAGCAAGAAGCTAGGTTCTTTTAGGAATCATTCTCTAACATCTGTCTTTCCCCATTCCCTCAAATCTAACCTGGCCATGGACCAGGCAGCAGATTGGTGAGCGCTGAGTTGGTGGCTGGTCCTGTGGAGGGTAGAGAGGTGCAAAACTGAGGAGTTGCCATGTATTGGAAGGACAGACGGGGGATGAACACTCGCTTGATGGTCGGGTGTGGTGATTCACAATTTGGGAGGTTGAGGCAGGTGCATCACTTGAGGTCAGGAGTTCAAGACCAGCCTGACCAACATGGAGAAATCCCATCTCTACTAAAAATACAAAATTAGCAGGGTTTGGTGGTGCATGCCTGTAATTCTAGCTACTCGGGAGGCTGAGACAGGAGAATCACTTGAACCCTGGAGGTGGAGGTTGCAGTGAGCCAAGATCGTGCCACTGCACTCCAGCCTGGGCAACAAGAGTAAAACTCCATCTCAAAAAAAAAAAAAAGTATAAAAAAGAAAATTTGCTTAAATACAAGGCACAGCTGGGCACAGTGGCTCATGCCTGTAATCCCAGTGCTTTGGGAGGCTGAGGTAGGAGGATGGCTTAAGGTGGGAGTTTGAGGCTGCAGTGAGCTATAATCCTGACATTGCACTCCAGCCTGGGCAGCAGAGTGAGACCCTGTCTCTAAAAAATAAATAAATAAATAAATAAATAAATTTAAATCTTTTTTTAAAAAAAAAATTACTTTCTTTAGTTTGTGTTATGAAAGCGAAATTATTTTTTGCCTTCCAAACTGAAAATAACAAATATACTTTTTCAGATTATGCTTGTTCCTTTTTTTTCTTTCTTTCTCCTCTCTCTCCGTCCTCTGAGACAGCAAGGCCCACGCCTCCACTGAGAATCATTGCCCTAAATTAAGCTGGTACAATTCCAAGGTCATTAAATTTATCAAAATGAATCTTCCAACAGTGTGGTCTCTTTATTAGCGTATCAGCATCAGCGGGGAACTTATTAGAAATATACATGTACCCCACCTCATACCTACTGAATCAGAAATTCTTGGGGTGAAGCCCAGCAAGCTGTATTTAGCCAGAAGGCTGAGCCTTCTAGGTGATTCTAAGGCATGGAGAGAACCAATTTACTTATTTATTTTATTTAAGCATTTTTCAATTTTTATGGATACATACAAAGTATATATATTTCTGGGGTATATGTGATATTTTGATACAGGCATACAATGTATAATAATTACATCAGAGTAAATGAGATGTCCATATCCTCAAACATGCATTATTTCTTTGTGTTACCAACATTCCAGTTGTACTCCCTCAGTTATTCTAAAAGGTACAGCAAATTATTGCGGACAGTAGTCACCCTTTTGTGCTATCTTTCATTCTTTCAATTTTTTGTATCCATTCACCATCCCCATTCTTCCTACTCCCTCCATCCTTCCCAGCCTCTGGTAACCATTCTTCCTCTCTATTTTCTTGAGTTCAATTATTTAAAAATAATTTTTTTTTTTTTTTGAGACAGTCTCACTCCATCACCAGGCTCCAGGCTGGAATGCAGTGGCGTGATCTCGGCTCACTGCAACCTCTGCCTCCCAGGTTCAAGCAATTCTGCCTCAGCCTCCCGAGTAGCTGGGACTACAGGAGGGTGCCACCAGGCCCAGTTAATTCTTTTTGTATTTTTAGTAGAGACGGGGTTTCACCATGTTGGCCAGGATGGTCTCTATCTCTTGACCTCGTGATCTGCCCACCTCGGCCTCCCAAAGTGCTGGGATTACAGGCGTGAGCCACCATGCCCGGCCCAATTATTTAAATTTTTAGCTCGAATGAGTAAGAACATGCAAAGTCTGTTTTCTGTGCCTGGCTTCATTCTTGTTTTTGCAGATGGCAAGATCTTATGTTTTTTTTTTTTTTTTTTTTTTGAGACGGAGTTTCGCTCTTGTTACCCAGGCTGGAGTGCAATGGCGCGATCTCGGCTCACCGCAACCTCCGCCTCCTGGGTTCAGGCAATTCTCCTGCCTCAGCCTCCCGAGTACCTGGGATTACAGGCACGTGCCACCATGCCCAGCTAATTTTTTGTATTTTTATTAGAGACGGGGTTTCACCATGTTGACCAGGATGGTCTCGATCTCTTGACCTCGTGATCCGCCTGCCTCGGCCTCCCAAAGTGCTGGGATTACAGGCTTGAGCCATAGCGCCCGGCCAAGATCTTATTTTTTTAATGACAGAATAGTACTCCATCATGTATATGTGCCATAGTTTCTTTATTCATTTGTCTGTTGATGGACATTTAGGTTGCTTCTAAACCTGGGCTATTGTGAACAGTGCTGCGACAAACATGGGAGCGGAGATAACTCTTCAATAGGTTGATTTCCTTTATTTTGGGTATATACCCAGCAATAAGATTGCTGAATCAGCTGGTAGTTCTGTTTTTGGTTTTTTGAGGAACCTCCATACTGTTTGGAGAGAGCCAATTTAATAGGCTGTAGTTATTATTCTTCAACTTTCCCCATTCTTTCTGTAACAGCTGCTTGCACTCATCAGCTTAAAAAGTAAGTGATAATTTTTTTCATCTTTATTGTGGTAAAATGCACATAACGTAAAATTTACCGTTGTAGTAATTTTTAAGCATCTGATTCAGTGTTATTAAGTACATTTGTAATGTTGTACAATCATCATCAGCCCTCATCTCCAGAACTCTTCTCATCTTGTAAAACTGAAACTCTATACTCATTAAACAATAACTCTCCATTTTCCCATCCCCCAGCCCCTAGCAACCACCATTCTACTTTTTGTCTTTATGATTTTGACTGCTCTAAGTACCTCATACAAGTGGGATCACGCAGTATTTGTTTTTGTTTTTGTTTTTGTTTTTTTTGTGAATGCCTTATTTCACTTACCATAATGTCCCCAGAGTTCATCCATGTTCCAGTGTTTGTCAGAATTTCCTTACATTTAAGGCTGAACAATATTCCATTGTGTGTTTACACCACATTTTGTTTCTCATTTTTCCACCAGTGGACACTCGGGTTGCTTTTGCATTATAGCTGTTATAAATAATGGTGCTACAAATATGGATGTGCAAAGATCTCTTTGAGACTCTGATTTCTGTTCTTTTTGATATATAAACCCAGAAGTGGAATTGTTGGACATAAGGTAGTTCCATTATTAATTTTTTAAGGAACTTCCATATTGTTTTCCATAGAAAACACCACCCGTGCACAGGAGTTCCAATTTCTCCACATCCTCACCAACTCTTACTTTGTCTTTTTGATAGTACCTATCCTAATAAGTGCAAGGTAGTATCTCATGGTAGTTTGATTTGCATTTCTCTAATGATTAGTGATATTGAGCATCTTTTCAGGTACTTATTGCCCATTTATATACCTTCTTTGGAGAAATGCCTATTCAAATCCTTTGCTGATTTTAAAAATCAAGTTGTTTGGGTTTTTTTTTTTTTTTTTTTTTTTTTTTTTTTGAGACGGAGTTTCGCTCTTGTTACCCAGGCTGGAGTGCAATGGCGCGATCTCGGCTCACCGCAACCTCCGCCTCCTGGGTTCAGGCAATTCTCCTGCCTCAGCCTCCTGAGTAGCTGGGATTACAGGCACGCGCCACCATGCCCAGCTAATTTTTTGTGTTTTTAGTAGAGATGGGGTTTCACCATGTTGACCAGGATGGTCTCGATCTTTTGACCTCGTGATCCACCCGCCTCGGCCTCCCAAAGTGCTGGGATTACAGGCTTGAGCCACCGCGCCCAGCTGTTTGGGGGTTTTTGGTTGTTATTGCTGTGTTTTAGGAGTTCTCTATGTATTCTGGATATTAATGTTTATCAGATATATGAATCACAAATATTTTTTCCATTTCATGATTGCCTTTTTACTCTGTTGACATTGTGTGTGTTTGTTTGTTTGATTCTGTCATCACCTATTCTGTCCCAGAGATGCTGTCTCTTGATGAACAAAATTTTTCCATTTTTATGAAACCTAATCTGTGATTTTTTTCTTTTGTTTCCTGTGTCTTTGATTTCATACCCAGGAAATCATTGCCAAATCCAAGGTCAAGAAGTTTTTGCCCTGTGTATTCTTCTAAGAGTTTTATAGTTTTGGGTCTTACATTTAGGTCTCTGATCCATCTTGAGTTAATTTTTGTATATGGTGTTGGATAAGGCTCCAGCTTCATTATTTTGCATTTGGAGAGGCAGTTTTCCCAGCACCGTTTGTTGACATGACTATCCTTTCCCCATTTGGTCTTGCCATTCTTGTCAAAAATCCTTTGACTGTATATGCAAGGGCTCCTGGGCCACCTTCTGTTCCATTGATCTATATACCTGTCTTTATACCAGTACCACATTGTTTTGATTACTGTAGCTTTGTAGCAAGTTTCAAAATGAGAAATTGTGATTCTCTAACTTTGTTATTCTTTTTCAAGATTACTCTTGCTATTCAGGGGTGCTTAAAATTCCATATAAATTTTAGGATGGGTTTTCTATTTTTGCAACAAAGGTTATTGGGATTTTGATAGAGATTGCATTAAATCTGTAGATCATCTTGGGTAGTATAGACATTTTAAAATAGATAATTTTTAACCCAAATTAAATTGTAATGCAAACAACCATCCTAATAATAAGAAACATGTTAAAGAGTAATTGATTCAACTGAATAATGTAGAAGATCAGAACAAGCAAGTATTTTATAGAAAAAGATGAAAATATAGCTGTCTTCTGCTTTTTCAGGAGTCTGTTTTTCTGGGATGGGTATTTTCAGATTAATATTATGTTCTTAGTGGGAGGGATGTGAAAGCAAAATATTAATCTTATTCCTGACCTGCCAGGTCTGAAGAACATTGTAGTTCAAGGAGAAAATCTTTTCTCCTAAAAGCAATTCATGTGCATAATCAATAGTAAGGCACAGATAATAAGCAGACTTGGGAAATGATAAAAGGGACAAGAAATAAAATTCAGTCATGAAATGGAAAAAAACATGAAGGATGAAGATGACAAAATGGGCATTTATGAAGAGAGGGAACTGCAGAGAGAGAAAGGTAGTGAACTGGGAACTCTGGGAAGGGTTTTATAGGGGAAAGAAAGAAATAGAGGTCAAGAGATAGAATAGAAGGTGATGAGGAAAAGAAGGTAATGAAGAAGATGCTGGATGTTTCCAAGACAAAGATATGATAAATGTTTGGGAGGATGGGTATGCTAATTACCCTGATCTGATCACTATACAGTGTATGTATTGAAACGTCACTGAATATACACATGAATATGCACATGTGTATAATATATACTATGTGATATACATGAATATGTACATATTATGTGCCAATGAAATAAAATAAAAAAGTAATTCCCAAATAAATAGAAAATTTTAAAAAGAGAGAGAGATGAGATGGGGCGTTGAGTGGGAACCTAGTTATGGAAATCTGCTGCTGCCCTCTTTTCTTTAGGAATGCAAGACTTTAATTATCTCCATACCAACTGCTTTGATATCACGCTGGAACTGAGTTGCAACAAGTTTCCCCCCCAAGAAGAGTTACAACGGGAGTGGCTGGGTAATCGGGAAGCCCTAATCCAGTTCCTGGAAGAGGTAAAATCTCATTTGTTAACTTTCATGTTTGCAAAAGGAAAAGTGCTTCTCGGTGGCAGGCAGGGTGTTTCACTGGTTTGGGTCTCACTTTTACTCTGACTCAGTTCAATAGATCTGGGCTTCTTCTTCCAGTGAGATTTATTCTTTCAACATTATTGAGCAGCCAGTCACGGTGGTTCATACCTGTAACCTCAGCACTTTGGGAAGCTGAGATGGGAGGATCACTTGAGCTCAGTAGTTTGAGACCAGCCTGGGAAACATAGCTAGACCCGTCTACTTAAAAAAAAAAAAAAAAAAAAAAAAAAAAAAAAAAAATTAGCCAAGCATGGTGGTGTGCTCCTGTAGACCCAGCTACATAGGAGGATGAGGTCGCAGGATCGCCTGCGCCCAGGAGGTCAAGGCTGCAGTGAGCTGTGATCATGCCATTGCACTCCAGCTGGGGCAGCAGAGCAAGACCCTTCTGAAGAACAAATTGTCAAGCACAACTATCTGTCAGAAACTATTCTATATGCTTGGAATTATGAATAAATAAGAAAATATCCCTGCCCATACGGAACTTATCTTCTAGTGAGGAGAGACAGGCAGCAAACAATAAATTATATAACATGTTAAAAGAAAAAGGGTATGAAAAAGTCCTACAGAGGAAGTGACATTTAAACAAAAATTTCAAGGAGATGAGGGAGAGAAACATGCAGATTTCTAGGGAGAAAAGGGTTCCTTGAAATGGACGCAACAGCAAATACAAAATCAACAAAAAGCATATGAAAAATGCCAGCATCACTAATCATTAGGGAAATGCAAATTAACACCACAGCCAGATCCCACCTCAAATTGGTTAGAATGTAAAGTGGTGCAGTCATTATAAAAAATGGTTATGGCAATTCCTCACACAATTAGAATTCTATATGCTCAATGACACTTTTGGGTATATATTCAAAAGAACGGAAATAAGGCCTCAAAGAGATATTTGCACACCCATATTCATAACAGCATTATTTACAATAGCCAAAAAGTGGAAGCAACCCAGTGTTCATTGATGGATGACTGTATAAACGAATGTTGTATATCCATACAGTGGAATATTATGCAGCCTTAAAAAGGAAGGAAATTCCGCTACATGCTACAGCATGGATGAAACTTGAGGACATTATGCTGAGTGAAGCTAGCCACCCACAAAAAGACGAATACTCTATTATTCCACTTATATGAGGTACTTAGAGCAGTCAAAATTATAGAGATGGAAAATATTAATAAAATGGTAGTTGCCAGGGGCTGCGGGAGGGCAGAATAGAGAATCATTGTTTAGTGGATATCTGGTTTCAGTTTTTCCAGATAAAAAGACCTACGCAGATGGGTGGTGGTAATGGTTGCACAACATTACAATTTTATTTTTAAACAAAGTCTCGCGCTGTCGCCTAGGCTAGAGTGCAGTGGCACGATCTCGGCCCACTGCAACTTCTGCCTTCTGGGTTTAAGCGGTCCTGTCTCGGCCTCCTGAGTAGCTGGGATTACAGGCATTCACCACCATGCCTGACTAATTTTTGCATTTCTAGTAGAGACGAGGTTTCACTCTGTTGGTCAGGCTGGTCTCAAACTCCTGACATCAGGTGATCTGCCCACGTCAACCTCCCAAAGGTCTGGGATTACAGGTGTGGGCCACTGCGCCCGGCTAAATGTATTAATAACATGGAACTGTATACTTAAAATGGTTAAAATGGTAAATTTTATTTTATGTGTATTTTATCACAATCTATCACAGCAAACTGAAAAACCAAAACGAAACAGAAAGCCAGGATACCAATGCGGCTGGACTGATCTCAGAAGTAAGGGAGAGGAAAGGTGGTTGGAGATGGGATCAGAGAGCTAACACGCAGCTTTACAGACAGGGCACCCCAAGAACTTTCGCTTTTGCTCAGTGTGCGTTAGGTTTTGAGTAGATAGAATAGTGACATGATTTGAGTCAGGCTTTAGCAGGATCACTCTGACCACTCTAACTGCGAAGAGATTAATTGGGGCAGGGAGAGAGGCAAAGAGACCAGTTGAGGGACTATTACCTTCATCTCTGTGAAGAGAAAATGCAAAAACATACGAGAAAGGGCTTTGAGACTCTAAAACACCATGCAAATGTTTTATGATCATAACCATATACTTGTTCCTGCAGGTTCACCAGGGCATCAAGGGAATGGTGCTTGACGAGAATCATAATAATCTTGCTAATGCTGTCATTTCTGTCAGTGGGATTAACCATGATGTCACTTCAGGTAGGTGGTTACTGCTTAGGGTCAGGGAGGAAGCGTTCACTCCCTCGTCATCTTCAGCATAATCAAGGGGCCAGTTAGTAAGCCAGTGAAACCAGCGGGGGTGTCAAGGATGCTGGGAGTTGGGGCATGGAGGAAGGAAGGGTAAGGAAAACAGAGACAGTAAATTAAGAGGCTAGATCAAACAACCAAGATGTTTTCATGGAAACTCTTTTGCTTCTGGTGCAAACAATCCCTGAGAGGGCAGGACCAGGAAAGACTGATGTAAATGTAACTTCTCGTCAGTGTTCAGGAGTCGCTACCACGTAGAATTTTTTTAGGAGTATTTTCTGGGTTTAAGCCTGTTAATAGCTCACATACTGGTAGGAAATCGGGTAGAAAGAGGACTGTAAAACGGATAGTTAGCCTTATCGCTGACTTGGCATTTCCCTACACCTCCACTGGGAAAGTTAGCAAGATTCTTTCCATCATAGGCTTACTGTGGGTCAAGATTGATGGTGGAGGTGGATCTTAGAACCACCCAGAACCTCCTAGAAGGGCACAGAATTATCTCACAGCAGAATGGTGGTGTAAACCGACAGCCCAGTTTGATCATGCACAACTCGTAGGGTTTTTTGTTTTATTTTGCTTTTGATGTATAGCAGTAGCTACCAACGGTTATGGTTATGGATAAGTGAGATTTGCCTAACTCCCCACCTTTTTTTCTTTTTCTTTTTTTTTTTTGAAAAGGAGTCTCATTCTGCCACCCAGGCTGGAGGGCAGTGGTGTGATCTCACTGCAACCTTTGCTTCCCTTTGCTGAAGCCATCCTCCCACCTCAGCCTCCAAAACAGCTGGGACTACAAGCATGTAACACCATGCCTCACTAATTTTCTGTGTTTTTTTTGCGGAGATGGGGTTTCACCATATTGCCCAGGCTGGTCTCTAGCTCCTGGGCTCCAAAGCCTCCCAAAGTGCTAGAGATTACAGGTGTGAGTCACCGCGCCCAGCCCTCCCCACAACCTTGATACCAGCAAGTCTCACCTGAATTTTACTGCACTAACATTTATTACCAAGTAGCTGTTTCCCAGTTCCTCCAATCTGTTTAAGCTGGATGAACGCTCAGCTTTCTGTTCGTTAAAGTGATCTCAATGCATCTTACCTGAAAGGTTCATTGAGGGTGAAGGTAGTGTCTAAAGGCAGAATCCTAGAGCCTCACAGTGAGGTATCAGACAACCAGAGAGTCTGTGTAGCCCAATGTCTGGACATAGGACTGTTTAGGAATTCAAACTCAGGAATCATCCTTTTAATCTTTTTTTGCTTTTTTCTTTTTTTAAGGAAATGTTTCTCAGTCATAGGAATCATTCTTATGAGCACAGCCTTCTTCAGGGCTTGCTAGATTCTTCTATTTTGTTTTATTTTTGTTGTTGTTAGACATAAAGCCCAGGCTGGAGTGCAGTGGCGTGATCTCGGCTCACTGCAACTTCTGCCTCCCTGGTTCAAGGGATACTCCTGTCTCAGCCTCCCGAGTAGCTGGGATTACAGGCATGTGCCACCACACCCAGCTAATTTTTGTACTTTTAGTAGAGACGGGTTTCACCATGTTGGCCAGCCTGGTCTCAAACTCCTGACCTCATGATTTGCCCGCCTCGGCCTCCCAAAGTGCTGGGATTACAGATGTAAGCCACCGTACCTGGCCTCTATTTTTTTTTTTTTAGGTGATGAGGTTTCACCATGTTGCCCTAGCTGGTCTCCAATTCAAGCAATTCTTCTGCCTCAGCCTCCCAAATAGCTGGGATTACAGGGTCTCACTCTAAAGCCTGGGTTGCAATACAGTGGTGCAATCAGGGCTCACCTCAGGCTTGACCTCCCAGGCTCACTTTGTCCTCCCGCCTCAGTCTCCCAAGTAGCTGGAACTACAAGTGCATACCACCATGCTCAGCTAATTTTTTTGTTTCATATTTTTTACAGAGACAGGGTTTTGCCTTGTTGCCCAGGCTGGTCTTGAATTTCTGAGCTCAAGTGATCTGCCTGCTTCAGCCTCCCAAAGTGCTGGGGTTCTAGGAGTGCACACCTGGCTTTTGCTAGATTCTTATGCTCTGTCCAAGCAAGTGTGGGAATGTCTCTAAAACAGTCTAGCCAGTCAACATGTATTGCTGGGCACAGTGGTTCACGCCTATAATCCCAACACTTTGGAATTTGAGTATCTGGAGGTCCAGGTGAGAGGAACACTTGAGGTCAGGAGTTCAAGACCAGCCTGGCCAACATGGTGAAACCCCTGTCTCTACTAAAACTACCAAAATTAGCAGGGTGTGGTGGTGTGGCCTATAGTCCCAACTATTCAGGAGGCTGAGACACAGAATTGCTTGAACCTGGGAGGCGGAGGTTGCAGTGAGCCAAAATCATGTCATTGCACTCCAGCCTGGGCACAGAGTGAGACTCTGTCTCCAACAACAACAATGAAGAATATTAAACACCACTAATTTCTCCAATTAGTGCCTACTTTCACCAACCATTATGTTAATTAACAAATTATTAGGCTGGGCATGGTGGCTCATGCCTGTAATCCCAGCACTTTGGGAGGCCAAGACAGGTGGATCACCTGAGGTCAGGAGTTCAAGGCTAGCCGGGCCAACATGGTGAAAATCCATCTCTACTAAAAATACAAAAAAAAAAAAAATAAATGTTAGCTGGGCGTGGCGGTGGGTGCCTGTAACCCTAGATACTCAGGAAGGAGGCTGAGGTAGGACAATCACTTGAACCTGGGAGATTGAGGTGGCAGTGAACCAAGATTGTGCCATTGTACTCCAGCCTGGGCAACAGAGTAAAACTCTGCCAAAAAAAAAAAAAAAAAAAAAATTATTTCACCAGTGAAAAAACTCATTGTAAACATTCATATGTAACTTAGCGTTGATGAGAGAGAAAGCTAGCTGAAGCCTTCAGAGTAGCTACATCTGGAATGGGGGCTTTCTGATACAACACTTGCTAACCACTTCAGGATGCAAGTCCTCAGTTAAGAAAATGACAACCCCTGGGGTGTCATTTCAACTATCCAATACAAGTACAATAACGCATTGCCTTTGCTGCAGTATTTTAAAGTAAATTACAGACACTATTTAGTAGGGGGCAGAAAAAAGACTTTCTCATTATTGTTTGTCTCAAGGTTTATTGTCTTTATTATTTCAAATATTCATTGCTATATACTTAAAATGAATTTTAAAGACACTGTCATAATTGAGTCTAAAGGGATGGAAAGTCATTAGCCAAAATGCTCTTTCCCTGTTGTAGAAAAACCGGCTTCTTTTGAATTTTATTTTTCCCTTGCCGTACTTTTGAAGGTGATACAAGAATAATTTTTTTGTTGTTGTTCTTTGAGACAGAGTCTTGCTCTGTTGCCCAGACTAGAGTGTAGTGGGGTGAGCCACTGCACGCAGCCCAATAGAAGAAATATTAAAAATAGGATTCTCACTGGGCACAGTGCCACACACCTGTAATCCCAGCACTTTGGGAGGCTGAGCTGAGTGGATTGCTTGAGTCAAGAGTTCAAGAGCAGCCTGGTCAACATAGCGAGACCCCATCTCTACAAAAAATAAAAGTAATAAAATTAACCAGGCACAGTGGTGTGTGCCTATAGTACCAGCTATTCAAAAGGCTGAGGCAGGAAAATCACTGGAGTCCAAGAGTTCAAGTTTGCGGTGAGCTGTGACAGCTCTACTGCACTCCAGCCTGGGCAACAGAATGAGACCCTGTCTCGAAAAAAGAGGCAGGACTCCCAGAATAGTATCTTTACTGGTCCAGCCTTCCCACTGAATCTAAGCTTACACCCGTACAACACCACTGACAGCCTTTTGTCCGGCCCAGGGCCTCCATGTTCCGTCGTGCGGGTTTTGCACTGTGCATCTGTGTAGCTTTTCCACGCTTCTGATCCAGTCTGTGCTTGAGCGCTCACAATTTCACAAAGCAGACCATTCCTTTTTTTGTAGCTCAGTTTCTCTCAACGGGTTTGTTGTTTGCTTATTTATTTATTTAGACAGAGTCTTGCTCCGTCACTTGGGCTGGAGTACAGTGGCACAATCTCGGCTCACTGCAGCCTCCATCCACCTCCTGCATTCCAGCAATTCTCCTGCCTCAACCTCCCAAGTAACTGGGACCACAGGCATGTGCCACCACACCTTGCTAACTTTTGTATTTTCAGTAGAGACAGGGTTTCGCCATGTTGGCCAGACTGGTATCAAACTCCTGACCTCAGGTTATCCACCTGCCTCAGTCTCCCGACGTCCTGGGATAACAGGCGTGAACCACCGCACCCGGCCTCAACAGGTTTTATTTCTGTCTAGTAAAATCTGCCTCCCTGCAATTTAAACCCATACATCTTATTCTTATTTCTTTAGATAGGCATCATTTCTTCATAGTGGCCTTTCAAATATCAAAACTGAGGTCTCACGTAGTTTCTTTATTAGGCAAACATTCGCAGACCTTTCGGCATTTCCTTTCTCCTAGTGTTCCTTTATTGGAGATGAGTTTTTATTAACTAAAGGTTCTAGAATTACACTTAACACCTTCAGTGTAGAGCACAGTAAACCTCCTGCTTCCTAGGGGCTGATCCCGTGCTTCTATTAAGATAGCCTGCAAAGGATTTAAATCTTTGCTAGTTTCATGCTATTAAGAAAAGTCGCAGGCCAGGCACGGTAATGCCTTTAATCCCAGCACTTTGGGAGGCCAAGGCAGGTGGATCACCTGAGGTCAGGAGTTTGAGACCAGCCTGGCCAACATGGTGAAACACCGTCTCTACTAAAAATGCAAACATTAGCTGGGCAAGGTGGTCTGTGCCTGTAATTGCAGCTACTATGAGGCAGGAGAATCTCTTGAACCTGGACAGTGAACTGAGATTGTACCACTGCACTCTAGCCTAGGCAACAGAGTGAGTCTCTGTGTCAAAAAAAAAAAAAAAAAAAAAGGAAGGAAGAAGAAAGGGAAGGGAGGAAGGGACGGAGGGAGGAAGGAAGGGAAGAAAGAAAAGAAGGAAAGAAAAGCCAGGATGGGTGCAGTGGCTCACGCCTGTGATCCTAGCACTTTGGGAGACTGAGGTGGGAGGATCACTTAAGGCCAGGAGTTTGAGACCAGCCTGGGCAACATAGTGAGAATGTGACTTTGTTTATTTTAAAAAAGAGAAGCCAATGGGCACGGTGGCTCACACCTGTAATCCCAGCACTTTGGGAGGCTGAGACAGGCAGATCACCTGAGGTCAGGAGTTCAAGATTAGCCTGGCTAACATGGTGAAACCCTATCTCCACTAAAATTACAAAAATTAGGCCGGGCGCGGTGGCTCAAGCCTGTAATCCCAGCACTTTGGGAGGCCGAGGCGGGTGGATCACGAGGTCGAGAGATCGAGACCATCCTGGTCAACATGGTGAAACCCCGTCTCTACCAAAAATACAAAAAATTAGCTGGGCATGGTGGCGCGTGCCTGTAATCCCAGCTACTCAGGAGGCTGAGGCAGGAGAATTGCCTGAACCCAGGAGGCGGAGGTTGCGGTGAGCCAAGATCGTGCCATTGCACTTCAGCCTGGGTAACAAGAGCGAAACTCCGTCTCAAAAAAAAAAAAAAAAAAAAATTAGCTGAGTGTAGTGGCATGCTCCTGTAGTCCCAGCTACTCAGGAGGCTGAGGCATGAGAATTGCTTGAACCCAGGAGGCAGAGGCTGCAGTGAGCCAAGATCATGCCACTGCACTCCAGCCTGGGAGACAGAGCAAGACTCCATCTAAAAAACAAAAGCTTGTAGTCAGCTAAAAACCCCAGCTTATTTTGATATCAAGGTCCCATTGGGGCAGGTTTTTTTTTTTTTTTTTTGAGATGGAGTCTTACTCTGTTGCTCAGGCTGGAGTGCAGTGGCACGATCTCAGCTCGCTACAACCTCCACCTCCCAGGTTCAAGCGATTCCTTAGCCTCCCGAGTAGCTGGGATTACAGGCACCCACCACTATGCCCAGCTAATTTTTGTATTTTCAGTAGAGACAGAGTTTCACCATAATGGCCAGGCTGGTCTCAAACTCCTGACCTCTGGTGATCCACCCACCTCGGCCTCCCAAAGTCCTGGGATTACAAGTGTGAGCCACCGCGCCCAGCCTGGGGCAGGTTTTTAATCAGTAGATTGAGTTATATCCTTGTGACTTTCAGGTGACCATGGTGATTACTTCCGGCTGCTGCTTCCAGGTACCTACACTGTCACTGCCAAAGCACCTGGGTTTGACCCACAGACAGAGACTGTGACCGTGGGTCCTGCAGAACCAACATTGGTGAGTTAGGTTGAACTTGATGGTGCACTCTAAAAGCCACTTATAAAGTCGTTTTAGGAGGACAGTGTCTCACTCTGTCATGCAGGCGGGAGTGCAGTGGTGCCATCATGGCTGACTGCAGCCTTAATCTCTCGGGCTGAAGCAGTCCCCCCGCCTCAGTGTCCCAAGTAGCTGGGAGTGAGTATGAGTGCACACCACCATGCCCGCCTCATTTTTCTACTTTTTGTAGTAAAAGGGTTTCACTATGTTGTCCAGGCTGGGCTTGAACTCCTTGGCTCAAGCAATCTGCCCACCTCAGCCTCCCAAAGTGCTGAGATTACAGGCGTGAGCCACCACCCTTGGCCCTTACAAAATCTTAAGTGATTACACACCTCTAATCTTTGCCCAGCTTCCTTCTTTTACATTTTTTAAAGGATTAATTGCTCACACATCTTTTTTTTTTTTTTTTTTTTTTTTTTTGAGACGGAGTTTCGCTCTTGTTACCCAGGCTGGAGTGCAATGGCGCTATCTCGGCTCACCGCAACCTCCGCCTCCTGGGCTCAGGCAATTCTCCTGCCTCAGCCTCCTGAGTAGCTGGGATTACAGGCACGCGCCACCACGCCCAGCTAATTTTTTGTATTTTTAGTCGAGACGGGGTTTCACCATGTTGACCAGGATGGTCTCGATCTCTTGACTTCGTGATCCACCCGCCTCAGCCTCCCAAAGTGCTGGGATTACAGGCTTGAGCCACCGCGCCCGGCTGCTCACACATCTTAAGTTTTGTTCTGTCGCCCTCCTATTATATCCTTCCTCACTTCCTTTTGGCTTTTCCTCTTCTGTTTAACATAGCATAGTGATTTAAAGCACCGCCTAGTTCTAAATTCAGCTCATTTGCCCACAGACCTTGGACAAATTACCTAATCTCTCTCCTTCTCAGTTTCTTTCTCTGTAAATTGGTAGTAATAGTGCCTCCTTCACAAGAGGCTGAAATGAGAACGCCCACATAAAGCCTTTGATATGTAGGGGCCAAATCAACTCTCCAAAGGCAGATAAATTAAAGAAAAGGTATACCAATTTATTTAACATGTATGCACAGGAGCCTACAGAATGAAGACCCAAAGATACAGGAGAGATTGTCCATTTTTATGCTTAGGTTCAACAAATTAGATACAGCTAGGTATAAATACAATTGGACCAAAAAGGTATCAGCTAATGCTGTGCACTGAGTGAAGAAGTCTAGCAAGGCCTGTCTGTCCAGATTCTTCTGGGCTCTCTGAGCGTGCATTTCTTCCTTCTGGGTATGGGTCAGTACCCTCTCTGAAAAGAGGGTCTTACGACCTACAGTCAAACAAGGTAGAGTCTGACGACTTATAGTCAAACAAGGCAGGTTAGATAGGTTCTCCTCCTCCTTCTCTTCCTCTTCCTCTTTTTCTTTTTTCTTCTTCTTTCTTCGTAGAGACAGGGAGTGACTCTGTCCCTCAGGCTGGAGTGCAGTGGCACAATCATGGCTCACCGCAGCCTCAGACTCAAGAGATCTTCACTTCATCTTCCCAAGTATCTGGGACTACAGGCACATGCCACCATGCCCAACTTTTATATATATATATATATATATATATATATATATATATATATATATATATTTATTTATTTTTATTTATTTATTTGAGACCAAGTCTCTCTCTGTTGCCCAGGCTGGAGTGCAGTAGCTCAGTCTCAGCTCACTGCAACTTATGCTTCCTGGGTTCAAGTGATTCTCCTGCCTCAGCCTCCCGAGTAGCTCCTACCACCACGCCCAGGTAATTTTTGTATTTTTAGTAGAGATGGGATTTTACTATGTTGGCAGGCTGATCTCAAACTCCTGACCTCAGATGATCTGCCCACCTCAGCCTCCCAAAGTGCTAGGATTGCAGGTATGAGCCACCACGCCTGGCCATTTAATTTAATTTATTTATTTATTTATTTTTTGAGATGGAGTCTTGTGCTGTTGCCCAGGCTGGAGTGAAAGGCACATTCTCATCTCACTGCAGTCCCCACCTCCCAGGTTCAAGTGATTCTCCTGCCTCAGCCTCCCAAGTAGCTGGGACTACAGGCTTGTGCCTCCATGCTTGGCTAATTTTTTTATTTTTAGTAGAGACGGGTTTTCACCATGTTGACCAGTCTGGTCTTGACCTCCTGCCCTCAAGTGATCCACCCTTCTCGGCCTCCCAAAGTGCTGGGATTATAGGCATGAGCCACCACACCGGCCTAATTTTTGTTGTTTTTTTGTAGAGACGGGGTTCTCTGTGTAGCCCAGGCTGGAGTGCAGTGGTACAGTCATGGCTCACTGCAGCCTTGAACTGCTGGCCTCAGGAGATCCTTGCACCGCGGCCTCTCAAAGCACTGGGATTACAGTCGTGAGCCACTGTGCTGCTTCGGCCTAGACTGTGCTCTGACTAAATCAGATAAATTCTTTTAAGACAGTTTTTACAGAGAAAGGCAGTGGGCTTACATTCTTCTGTGCCAGCTGCAAGGACTGCCACCAGAGGGCGCTCTACCATCCCTTCTGGTGGTCCGTGGACCCTGATGTTTGTTGCTTTCCACTCAATGCTGCAAAGAGCCAGCTACTCTTCAAGATTCAACTCTCCAGGGCTTTGTTTTATAGATAGTATGAGAAGCAGAGAACTTCTTTGATTTTACAGCCTGGACCTTTTCAGTTTTGGTTGTATTAGGACCTCAGAGCTAAAGGAGCTCAGAGATCATGGACACGAATCCCCAGATTTCTCAAAAGAGGACAAAATAATGAGACAGTCCTACTTAATGGCCATCCTCAATCTCATTTCCCAAAAGTCAGCCTTTCCTAGGGCCGCCTCATGCCTTCTGTATACAACCCTAGAGCTTAATAGACCCTCCCACCCCCTTTCCCAATTAACATGATGCAGTCAAGTGGTCTTTTACTATTTATTGAATAATTATTATGTGTGACATGCTGTGAGAGCTTTCCAGCATTGTCTCATTTAACCTTCACAACAACCCTGTGAGGTAGATGCAAGTATCCCCATTTGTGGCTTAGAGAAGATAAAAGAAACTTGCATAATATCACATAGCAAGTGGTGGGAGCCAGGATTTGAACCTACGTCACGCTCTCTGGCTGCCTTCTTAGCCAATGTGTTGCAGGAACTCATACTAAGTGTACAACCTGTGTTTGCAGCTCCTTATTGTAACACAAGGATCAGGGGAAAGAACTATGCTGTAAATCCTTTGAGAATTCCTCTGGAATTTCCAGATGGTTTCTTCCTCCATCTCCTCCTCCCCCAGTCCCATCTCCTGAATAATGTAAATTACTTCTCCTTACAGTTGCTGGAAACAGAGAGTAAATCTTTCACTGTAGCCTATTAGCTGATCTGGGGTCCTCTTTCCTTTTTTTCTTGTTATATCCTAAAATTGAATGACTGGTAGGCAGTTACATATATGAGCTTTGCATCACCAGCAAGTCTGTTCAATGCCAAATTCAAACAACTGCATGTCCTCTCGAGTAGCACACTCGATTTCAAAGGATTTTGCCCCCTTTTTCACATATTCTTTAAATTAACGTAACTCATCATTATGTCAAATATACTCAGAGGAGAAAAGAAATCTGTCATTTGGATACAATTTCCAGGCACAGTAACAACTAAAAATCCATTTATTGATCACAAAGGAATCTGTCTTCCTCCCCAGTCTAAAGCAGATATCCACCTGACTGGAAAAGAAAAAAGGAGAAAAAGATTGGCCAGGTGTGGTGGCTCATGCCTGTAATCCTAGCACTTTGGGAGGCTGGGATGTAATGTCACTTGAGGTCAGGAATTCGAGACCAGCCTGGCCAACATGATGAAACCCCGTCTCTACTAAAAATACAAAAATTATCCAGGTGTGTTAGCGCATGCCTATAATCCCAGCTACTTGGGAGGCTGAGGCAGGAGAATTGCTTGAACTCAGGGGGCAGAGGTTGCAGTGAGCAGAGATCGGACCACTGCACTCCAACCTGGGCAACAGAGCAAGACTCTATCTCAAAAACAAAACAAAACAAAGCAAAAAACCAGATTGTTTACTACAGGGTTTCCTTAGTAGAATTAAGATGCTTTAAAATATCTCGGCCCCGGTGTGGTGCCTCACACCTATAATCCCAGTACTACTTTCGAAGGCCAGGGCTGGCGGATCACTTGAGCCTAGGAGTTTGAGACCAGCCTGGGCAACATGGCGAAACCCTGTCTCTACAAAAAAGTACAAAAATTAGTCAGGCATGGTGGCATGCATGTGTAGCACCAGCCACTTGGGAGGCTGAGGTGGGAGGATCACTTGAACCCAGGAGGTGGAGGCTGCAGTGAGCCATGATTGCACCACTGCACTCCAGCCTGGATGCCAGAGTAAGACCTTATCTCAAAATAAAAATAAAATATCTTCCTGGGCCCAAAATAAAATATCTTGCTTTTTCCCAAGGCCTTCCGCATGGCGTCACTGCTTTCCTTTTCCTTGCCTCATTTTCTTGTCTCTCTTCTCTCTCTTTTTTTCTGTCCTAGATTCCTGTGTTACTAAACAGGAACCAGTAAATAAGACAGTACAGTTGGCTCTGATTCTCCCCTCCCCACCCCTGGAGGAACTAGCAGAAACTTGGCTATGAATTTTTGTGGAAGGAGCAGGAAATAACCCCATAGAGAAGCCTCTGAGTCAGCGGCATGTTTTTAAACTCCCAGCTGGCTTCAGGGGCTCAAGCTGTTCCAAGGGTGGGAAAGCCCAGGCCTGCCCCAGAGGAGCGTGGTTAGGATACTGTGCCACTCCCTCTCCTTCCTCTTCAGCCTGGGATAGTTCTATGGCTCTTCAATGCCCAGAATGTCCCACATTTGTCAGTGAAAAGTATCTCCATCCGCAGGCTGTGGCCAGAAGAGAAGTTGCAATCCAGCGCTTGAAAGGATGCATTAATGCACATGGAAATTTCAAGTTTAAGATTCCAAGCAGGGTGTGGTGGCATGTGCCTGTAGTCCCAGCTACTCAGGAGACTGAGGCAGGGAGATTTCGAACCCAGGAGTGCGAGTCCAGCCTGGACAACATATCAAGAACCCATCTCTAAAATAAATTTTTTAAAAAAGGAAAATAAATAAGAGTCCAACCAACACTCTTTATCATCTCTACTATCTATAGAATCAAACAAGCATGGCAGAAGGTTGAGTTCTGAAGCCCGGTGACACTTACTGGCATGCCTGAGCTTGGCACCAGTGAGTCACCCAGGCAGCATGAAAATTATTACAGTGCTGTCAGTCATGGCTCTTGTCCTGAGTGGTAATATTGGTGAAATTGTGATTTGATGTGTAGATATTTTTCCTTTCTTTTCTTTTCCTTTGTTTCTTTTGAAATGGAGTCTCATTTTGTCACCCAGGCTAGAGTGTAGTGGCATGATCTCGGCTTACTGCAACTTCTGCCTCCTGAGTTCAAGCAATTCTCATGCCTCAGCCTCCCAAGTAGCCGGAACTGTTAGGCATGCGCCACCAGCCCAACTAATTTTTGTATTTTTAGTAGGGATGGGGTTTCATCATGTTGGCCAGGCTGGTCTCTAACTCCTGACCTCAGATGAGCTGCCCACCTCAGCCTCCCAAAGTGCAGGGATTACAGCCACCACGCCCGACCTAATTTTTTAATTTTTATTTTTGATATGGAGTCTCACTGTCACTCAGGCTAGAGTGCAGTGGCATAATCTCGGCTCACTGCAGCCTCCACCTCCCAGGTTCAAGCAATTCTCCCACCTCAGCTTCCTGAGTAGCTGAGACTACAGGTGTGTACCACCACGCCTGGCTAATTTCTTTGCATTTTTAGTAGAGACAGGGTTTCACCATGTTGGCCAGGCTGCTCTTGAACTCCTGACCTCAGGTGATCCACCACCTCAGCCTCCCAAAGTGCTGGGATTACAGGCATCAGCCACCATGCCCAGCCAATTTTTCTCTGATATGTATAAAATCAATGAATATGAATTTTGTCCAGTCACACCCTACTTATCACCAGTGATTGCATACCAATTTTGGGGGAACATTAGCCAGGTCTATATGGCACCAGCAGTGCTTCTCTGGATCACTGCTATAATAATTCTTAACTAGTACCCAGCCCTCAGAAACCGGAACTATGGCAAAAGATGGTTCCAACGGATCTCCCAGCTTCTGCTTTTTCCCTTGCAGGTTAACTTCTACCTCAAAAGAAGCATCCCTCAAGTGAGCTCTGTGGGGAGAGCTCCCAGCAGAAGGCATGGAGCTGGAGCCAAAGTGCAGCCCCAGGCAGCCAGAAAGAAAGAAATGGAGATGAGGCAGCTCCGGAGAGGCCCTGCCTGAAACCCAGAGTGCCGGGAAACCCTTCAGAAAGGCTTTGCTCCTGCTCTTAGGTCACATGAAGCATTCTTCCTATTTTATTATCTGGGACATATTTAAATACAAACATATTCAGAGCAATTCAGAATGGTCTTCGTCTGTTGCAGGGATAAGCCATCTCTGGGTCATCATGAAAGGAATTAGGGTCTGTTGAAAGCTGATGTGGTAGTACATGTATCTAGTGGTGTTTGGTAAGGTTTTTCCATTCTGAGAATCCAGTTTAGGCTCCTTGCTGGTTCACACTGCATCCAGAGACTGGTTCTGGCTGGTTGGCAGCTGCATCTCCAGAATCTAGCACAGAGTTTGCAACAGAGTTAGTGCTCAGTGAAGATTTCTGAACCATCACTGAAATGGTGAAGTAAGTGATCCGTCATTGATGTTGTTCCCATAGCAAAAGTAGGTGATGAGTTCTTCTGAAATCCCAGAGGATCATTTGAGGAACAGTATCTTAATAAGAAAAGAATTTGACATGCAAATACTTAGTGCCATGGCTACCCTTCTTTGTACATGGGCATTTAATAAATAGGCATCTTTCTTTTCTTTTCTTTTTTGAGATGGAATCTCACTCTGTTGCTCAGGCTGGAGTGCAGTGGTGCGATCTCAGCTCATTGCAACCTCAGCTTCCAGGTTCAAGTGATTCTCGTGCCTCAGCCTCCCAAGTAGTTGGAACTACAGGCATGTGTCACTACACGGAGCTGATTTTTGTATTTTTAGTAGAGATGGGTTTCACCATGTTGGCCAGGCTGGTCTGGAACTCCTGACCTCAAGTGATCCACCCACATTGGCCTCCCAAAGTGCTGGGATTACAGGTGTGAGCCACTATGCCTGGCCAATTATTTGCTTTTAAACTATTTTGTTTGTTGGCATTTTCACAACATATAAAGATCTTTTTTATTTATTTATTTTATTTATTTATTTTGAGACGAAGTCATGCTCTGTCACCCAGGCTGGAGCGCTGTGGCATGATCTCAGCTCACCACAACCTCTGCCCCCTGGGTTCAAGCGATTTTCCTGCCTCAGCCTCCCGAGTAGCTGGGATTACAGGCATCCACCACCACACCCGGCTAATTTTAGCATTTTTTGGTAGAGACAGGGTTTTGCTGTGTTGACCAGGCTGGTCTTGAACTCCTGACCTCAGGTGATCTGCCCACCTTGGCCTCCCAAAGTGCTGGAATTACAGGACTGAGCCACCATGCCCAACCAGATCTTTTATAAAAAGCAATAAAAATCTTGAAATCTTTTTGGAAGCATCTGTCCATCAATACTTACTCCTAGATAAGACTAATTCTGGGGCCCTCATTTTTTCCCCCCTTTTTTTGAGACAGGGTTTTGTTCTGTCACCCAGGCTGGAATGCAGTGGTGTGATCACAGCTCACTGCAGCCTCAGTCTAACCAGGCTCAAGCGATCCTACCACCTCAGCCTCCTGAGTAGTTATGACTACAGGTATGTGCCATCACACTTAGCTAATTGTTTTGTGTTTTTTGTAGAGACAGGATCTCACTATATTGCCCAGGCTGGTCTCAAAGTCGTAGGCTCAAGCAATCCTCCTGCCTCAGCCTCCCAAAGTGCTGCGATTACAAGGCAAAAGCCACCATGCCCAGTCTGGGACCCTCATTTTTAAATGCACTTCTTAAAGTGCAGTATTCATTTGAAATGTTGTAATTCTGTATTACTTTTAGTAAGATCTTGACATTTCTGTAAGTGTTTGCTGCTTCCAGGGCCTAGGATTTCTGCATGAATGGGTAAGCATAGCTGGAAGGTGGAGTACTTAGTTCTTCAGTAGTAAAGAACCCCATTTTTACTTTAGATCTTGTCTTTAACTCTCAGATCCATTTGATTAACTTGGCTAATGGGTTTTTTCCTACCTAAGTGTGCAAGAAAAAGAAACAAAAGGAATACTACAACACAAAAATCTCTGTGAATTTCTAAAAGCTGAAGTTCATAGCCTCTGTATTATTACCATTTACTGCCAGTTTCTCTCTGACCCACTCAGACATCTGAGGCCTCTAAGTGGATCAAAGCCAGCTAATTGTTGCATCCAGTGTGATCCTAGACCTAGTCCAGTTTATATCACAACTTCCAAACCCAACTCATAATTCACTCAAACAAACAGATAGCTCAAAACATAAACCCACGGAGCTTCAGAATCCAAGAGAGAAGACACCCATGATCCCCAGCTGTAAGACAGCAATGGACAAAATGCGTCCGGTGGGTACCTTGTTTGGTCACTCAATACCCCTGGTGCGGACTAGAAGCTCTACTTCAGATCCCATTTCTGACACCATCTATTAAAAAGAAAACCTTAGGCAAGTTCATTTTAACAGAGAGTTTATTGAGCAAAGAATGACTGACAAATCAAGCAGCCCCCAAAGCAGAATAGGTCCAGAGAGATTCCTGCACAGCTGTGGTCAAAAAAGACTTATAGACAGAGAAAGGAAAGTGATAGACAGAAACAGTTGGATTACATTTGCCTTATTTGGACACAGTTTGAATAGCTGGCCGCCTTTGATTGGCTTAAATTCAGTGATTGGCACAAGAGTAGGTTACAGTCTGTTTACGAATCAAATAAGGTTATAGTTCACTATGTGTGGCAAGATCTTTACACTGAACTTAAACTGTGTAAGGAGGCTACTTTGGGATAAACCTAACTTAGCAGACCTAATAAATATATATTTTGGGCCAGGTTCGGTGGCTCACACCTGTAATCCCATCACTTTGGCACTTTGGGAGGGTGAGGCAGGTAGATCACTTGAGGTCAGGAGTTTGACACCAGTCTGACCAATAGGGAGAAACCCTGTCTCTACTAAAAATACAAAATTAGCCAGGCGTGGTGGTACACACCTGTAATCCCAGCTACTCGGGAGGCTGAGGCAGGAGAATTGCTTGAACCCAAGAGACAGAGGTTGCAGTGAACTGAGATTGTACCATTCACTCCAGCCTGGGCAACGAGAGCGAAACTCCATCTCAAAAATATATATATATATATATATTTTGTCTTTGTCCCCTGGTGTACAGCTTCTAAACCCCTTGTATAACTTTCTGAATGACAGAGGTTTATCCATAACAAGCCCCTGAATTTTGATTACACCTGAGTTTATGTTAATGAGATGACTGGTAGCTGAAAGCCCCTAGATAGCTTCAGGATGGCTCTGGTTGCCAAAGAAACCCACCATGTGCTTATGATGGCAGTGGCGGTCCGTCTGGAGTGGCTGCAGCTGGGAGATGCAGCTGGGGCTGCAAGCCCCATAGAGCCAGCGGGATCCAGGGACAAGTGGGAGCCCCGTCGCTTCTGAGTTGGGGCAGGAGCTCCCAGGTGTCACTGCAGCTGCCCAAGCCATGGCTATGGACCCGGGCATCTCCGTCCTCTTGGGGTCCAGGAGCAGGCGGGAGCCCCATCTCCCAGGCACAGCTGCAGCCACTCAAATAGCAAGTCTAGGAGCTCTGTGGCAGGGAAGAGCCCACCTGATTCTAGCAGCTGCATCTCCTGCATGTGTGTGTGCATGCTCAGTTTCCTGATTTATGATTTCAACGTGCGAGAAGTCTAACTCAGCATAGGTCCAAGACAGTGTAGCATCCAAACCACATCGAGTCTCTTCATAAGTGAGCCAGTAAGACTCACTTTTTCCATGGTCACAGAAAACACCCCTAAACCCAAACAGCCATCTCAAAAGCAAGGATGGAGAAAGTAGGACAGCATGACCTGGTACAAATCTGCCATCAGAACTGGAGAATTTAGAGTTCCTGTGTCCAGAGCGTCATCTTTTCACAATTTGTCTTTTACGCAGACTCTCAACACCCAGCCTGCACTCCATCATGCCCGCCTCCTGCCTGGAATACAGCTTCATTTCTGCCTTAACACTAACTGCATTCTGGCTTTAACCATGAGTAAACATTCCCCATGAGCAAATGCCTAAGCAAACACCACTTCTCTCCCTCCTCCCAGAAGTTAAATCCCACCATTTATAAAGCCTTCCCCTACTCCTACTGTCTCTTATTCTTTCCCTCGCCACTTGATGATCTTCCCCACACTGCCACTCATGAATCTTTCTTTCTCCCACCTTCATTCTGTTCACATACCTCCTGTACCCCTTCACATGCCCCCCACCAGGCCCTGCTGCAGGTGGGGTGTAACATCACTTAAGAAACAGGGCCTGGGCTGGGCGCGGTGGTTCACGCCTGTAATCCCAGCACTTTGGGAGGCCGAGGCGGGTGGATCACGAGGTCAAGAGATTGAGACCATCCTAGTCAACATGGTGAAACCCCGTCTCTACTAAAAATACAAAAAATTAGCTGGGCATGGTGGCGCGTGCCTGTAATCCCAGCTACTTAGGAGGCTGAGGCAGGAGAATTGCCTGAACCCAGGAGGCGGAGGTTGCGGTGAGCCGAGATCACACCATTGCACTCCATCCTGGGTAACAAGAGCGAAACTCTGTCTCAAAAAAAAAAGAAAAAAAAAAAAAAAAAGAAACAGGGCCTGGAGCCATTAAGGGATAGGTGGCCAGCAGCCTGGAAAAAGCAAAACAGAAAAAGCATTGCTTGTTTCTGCTGTCACTCTGCCTCCCTCCCCTTGCACAGTCTCAGGGAGGAGGCAAAGAAAGTCACCCCTTGGATCCATGTTCACCCTGCAGGAGGAGGGAGAAAAGGCATCTTTGAGTTCCTTTTAGATTGTCCCATGTGAGGCCTTTGGAATGAAGTCAATCAGGGCATTAGATCAAAGGAATTCAGTGAGTTTCCTTAAATCCTTTCTGGAATCAGATGAAGAATAAATGAAAAAATCAAATGACCACAATTTTGTTCTTTTAAAAAATATCCAAGTATAGTATTTTATACACACTGTAGTTTATAGAAGGCTTTTATTTTACAAGCCAATTTTTTTTTAATGTCAGCCATTGGTATATTACCAATGTTGTAGCAAGGTTTGAGGGAGGTACGGCTCACGCTTGAGCATGGAAACCCAATCATCGTGCTTATGACTTACAGAATGACCTAACATTTTTTTTAAATGGAGGGATAGATAAAGGGCCCATCAATTTTCTTTCTTTCTTTTTTTTTTATAGGGTCTTGTTCTGTTGCCTAGGCTG